CGAATATATAAATTTCGCCGCAAAAATAAAGTTTGAATAGCTCGGTCGGTACTCGGGCGGCCCCAAAACAGACGGCCGTGGTTCGTATCACGATCATATACACTTATTTTTTTAACTTTTTTATTTTATATTTTTTATTTATTTTCCAAAATACATGATTTACCAAAAAAAAACCGGTCCTCCAGGTACTAAATAATAAAAGGTAAATTCAATTGTTTAGAAAATACTACAAAATAAGTACTTATCTTAATTAGAAAAAAAAATATCAGATACAATTTGTGAGTCAGTGACAAAAAACAAACATAATTTCCAAACCACAAAGCAGAATAATATCTGAATCTCCTAGCCTAACCAAATCTATACTCCTAAACAGTGACAGATTTGTCCGTTGCTCGCCCTAGGCTCATTAAAGATTACGAGAAAAGACTCGCTGGAAGTGCTGGAAGCACGCAAAAAATTAAACAAAGAAAGTTAATACATGATATTATGGAGCCGACGAATGGTACCTACTTATCAGGCCCGCTTGATTTGTTATAATTTTCATGGAATCTCGCCTACACAAAGAAGCGAAAGGCGAAAGGCAAGCAACGCTACTAAAAAGCACCACTAATTTGTAGCCAATTCAAAGCCAACTCGGCCAATAGAGAAATCCGTAGTGGATGTTCCTAACAACTAACCAAATCGCAAACCAAAATCAAGAATATCCGTATACTGAGTAAAACTAAAATCGTAACTGTCGTATAAATCTCAATCGAAGAAATTTGCATTATATATTAAAATGCAAATGGTCGGCGCTTGTCCCTTAACTTGTGAAAATATGTATACAGCGCATTTTATGAAGAACAACGCCATCTAGTTTTTGCACGGGAACTAATTCCTTATCGTAACTTACCTTATGGACTGTAATTCTATCAATTGAAGAATTTGTTAGTAAATAATAAAAAAAAGTTAGATTTTTTATTATGAAACTGAAAATTCATATTTTCGCGGTTAACATTTTATCCCTGATTTTACATGTACATTTTGTATGGAAGTAATAAGAAGTAAATAGGAAATATAAGTATTGGGAGCTACTATGATATTTGAAAAAAATTAAAAACTGTTCCAATTGTTCCAATAGCTAATAACGTGTATATTCTGTTTAAGTAAACTGATTACGATCAAACGATACATAAATATTGCGAGGAAGTTGTACTGACACGCTGTCAAAACTCCCGTAAAAACGATCCAATGTTTGTATTTACATAATTTTTTTTGAGTGAACCCATTGCAATAAAACAAAGCTTTAATGTTGCATAGAAATAATCTTGAATACTTTCAAAATCACCATTCAAATTAGTCAAGTAGTTGGATAACTGTTTGCGACTGCACTGCTTTAATCTCAAAACTCCCTTATCGCCTGTTTGAGTGAACCGATTGAGACCAAACAAGACCTAGATGTTGCCCCAAGGTTCGCTTTATTAACCAGTGAAAACTGCATCAAAATCCGATTGACATTTGTCGAAAGCCTACATAGGCCTTCCGGTTTTTTTTTTGCACGGAAAAAAGAAAATAGGAACTTTTATAGTTTGATAGTAACGTGGCAAACGCGAAAGTGGAAAAAATACAGTTTCAAATAAAGTTGACAAATTCCGTAAATATAATATAATATATAAGACAAATTATATATAAGACAAATTCCGTAATATATTAAGACAGTTACTAGTCTAAATCTTACATTTTAAAATTGTTCGTTTTACAGTAATTTAAAATATACTATATGACAATGCAATTTTTCCTCTTTGGCGTTCGAAGCCCCAGTTAAGTTACTATTTATTTATTTCAAACTATAAACGTTCCTGTTTTCTTTTTTCCGTGTGTATTAAGCCAATTTATTTACAGATATATAGACATAAACGTGTAGGATATAATTATATTTTATTCACAGCACAAGACAGGATTTAAAATAAAAATATGCATAATAAAAATGAAAATCAAATTTATTATTGCATTTTGAATTGAAATTACAATTTTACTCTTCGAGTTCTCATTTGTTCAGCAAATAAATCTATGACCTTGTCATAATTTAACTCTTGTGCAATTCGATTTTCTATCGCTTCTTGCAAGACAAATTGCAAATATTTTTTAATTACTTTTATTTCGTAAAACTTCGCTCACAGCTTTCAGCTGTAGTGGGAAGCGTAGAGTAAATTCGCAGGGCAATACAAATAATAGGTCCTTACTTACATAAGAAATTGGCATTTTGTACGGAAGGAATATAAAGTCTATTTTTTTTTGTAAAACATATTTAATTAATCAAAGTATGCACCGTTGTCATCTCATAGGAAGTTCATTGATCCCTTTATTAAAAAAAACATGGGTGCGAGAATCAATAAACTCTTTGAAGGCGGTTTGGACTGCCGCATCGGAGTTGAATTTTTTTCCTTGTAAGAAGTTATCAAAATACCGGAAAAATAGTAATCTGTTGGAGCAAGGTCCAGGGAGTACGGTGGATGCAGACATTCCAATTGTAGATCATTTAACATAGTGGTTGTTTGTTGTGCAGTATGCGTTGTCGTGAAGTAGCAGTTGCCTAGAGCGATTGACCAATCTCGGTTGTTTAGCAGCTATTTCTTCCTTCATGGTTTGCAGTTGCTGACAATAGCTGTCTGCTGTAATCGTTTGGCCAGATTTTAGAAAGCTGTAGTGAACGACACCGGCGCTAGTCCACCAAACAATCACAAGTAACTTTTTCTGAGTCAATTTTCGTTTAGCTGGCTTTCGATTCGGCTGGGTCACCAGGGTTCAGCCATTGTAACAATCGCTTCCGATTATCGTACAGTATCCACTTTTCATCACAAGTGATTAATGATTCGATTTAAAATCTCTTAATTATTGTGTCGGTTGAGCAAAGTAAAACACACAGTTTCCCGATTTGCTTCAAGTGCATTAATACAGTTTTATCACTTACCCCGAAGCCTGTAGCTATCTCTGAAGTGCTTTCTGATGGATACGCTTCCATAATAGCTTTTTTCAATTCTTCATTTTCCACCTTTGGCCGTCCACGGGGTTGGTTCTGTAGGTCGAAATTTCCAGAACGAAAACGTTAAACCAAAAAAGTACCTTGATTTCTTTTGCGACACCAGCGCCGTACTTATCATTAATCCTTCGAGCTGTTTCTGCAGCACTGATGCCACGGTAGAGCTCGTGCTCAATTGCAAGAGATAGACATCGCCTCGCGAATAGTAATGTTCGTGCAGCACGTCTCACTCCGCGCTCTGGGTCGATCGTTCTAGTTGTTAGGAAAATATTAAGTAAATTATGAGCTGTCCATTCGTCTGTAAAATGTGAATTTACCTCTTGCCGCCCGGGGCATGGGCCCCGGCTTGCCTAGATCCGGGGCTGTACGAAAACATAGATTCTTATGGCAACTAAACTTGTTCAAAATTAGCCCCGCGATGTTGAATATAAACCTTCAACAAAGTGTGCAAAGTACAAATCGATATCGAAACTATCCGTAAAATAAATGGTGACTTCACTAACTGAATAACAAAGAACCTAAAGGAGCCCATTCCCTATCCTGCCTGGCAGTCCACCGTGCAGGACTGCTAAGCAGGATGTAGCCCACACCATAGATAAGACATATATACTGAGCTCACACACATCTTGCATGCCGTCCCTCATAAGTACTGTTTCGTTTATAAATAGTGTCAGTGTTGTTGTAATGATTAGGTATGGATTTACGTGAAGATTCGAAAAAAAAGAAAATAGTGATTCAGCTATGATTTTTTGTTGTTAGATAACAGTTTTTATTAATAAATAACCTTTCCATAGTGGTCCACATTATCATAGTGGTTTGGCCGTCCTGCATAGCGGCAGTGCTGCCATATGACGAAAAAAAGACGCACTAAGCCTTTATCAAAGTTGCGCTATATTATACGAAAATACGGATGCTAAATTAGGAGTTTTTTGTCGTAAATTTAGACAGTACATATTCACAATAGAAATTTTGTTTGAGGTAATTTTTTTAGAAATATTTTTAGGAATTAAATTTTATTCACATGTGTGAAAAAATCTACACAGGACTAGGTACTTTATTTAAAAAAAAAACGTGTGCATCCCGGGAAGCCCGACTGATGTGATAACTAAAACTAAGCTAAAAAACTTTTTTATATTGAAATAGTTCAACTTGAGAAAAGCTTAGATTATTACTTAAATTTTATGTATATTAGTATGATAATGTGAGGAAAGGTTATTTATTAATAAAAACTTTTATCTAACAACAAAAAAAAACATAGCAGAATCGCTATTTTCTTTTCTTTTTCGATACTTCACGTAAATCCATAATTATTACAACAATAACACTGACACTATGATGGACGGCTGGCAGGATAGTGTGTGGGCTACATCCTGCTTTGCAGTCCTGCACGGCGGACTGCCAGGCAGGATAGTGAATGGGCCCCTATATACATAATGCTTAAAACATTAGGTTGCCACTTGGATGTATTTCAAAATAAGAGAGAGAATTTTGTTTTCGGCTATTATTTTTGCAGTCATAAATTACGAAATACGGCATTATGGTGATTACGGTCATGTGTGACAGCGCGTGCGTCTCCAAATGCGTTAAAACTTATATTGCCTTCACTTATTGACACTTTCGCTAAACTGTGCCCACATGGCACTTCCACTTGTTTTCTCTATAACGTGATTCGTACTATTCTTTTATTTATAGTTTGTGCAAATTTCATAACTGTCAGATTGATTCATCACTAGACAATTTAGACATCAGTCAGAGATATGATAATTGAATGTTATTGGTGAAAAACAACATTTTACTTCTATTGTCTTCATAATTTTATAATACGAAAAATTTTAATCAGATAATAAAATTTAATCTCTTTAATTAATAAATATTTTAACTCACAAGTTTCTTCGACTCTTGATGGTAACATTCGGTAACTAGTTAAAGTAATTAAATTATTTAAATGTAATCCAAGGATTTAGTTCCATTTTATAATAAGATGGAAAAAGATCTTCATAATCCGGTTGTTACTTGTGTGGGCAATTCATGGGTTGTATGTAGATCCAAATCGCATCCCGGTCGAATATACTATTTCAATACTTTTACTGGAGAAGCAGTGTGGAATTTAAGTGAAGTAGAGGTAATATTAATGTGGTTACTTTTTACTAACTATATACAAAAAGTAAAAAAAAATTTTGGTATGGTTAAATGTTTATTTCAAATAATATTAAATGTTATGCCCTATCCATTTTTAATATAATATTTTCCGTATCCATTTTTCTTATTTTTCATATTTTGTTATTGAATATCTAAGTTATAACATTATTTGCAGATAGAGAAAGCTAAAACAACAACAAAAATAATAGAGGACTCGGGTGTAAATATGGATGGATGTCCAGAGCCAAAAGATCCACCACAAGATACTATAAGCCATAGTTTTTCATTTAATAAACATATACAAAGTACTGGTACATCAAAAGAATTCTGCAATAATAAGATGATAAATAATAAAATTAATCAAGCAAATTTAGTTTCTCCATTCACTAAAGTACAATGTTGTAACCATTTAAACCCTCTCACTCATGTCAGCCTAGGTATACCCATGTCATCAGGTTTGAACCCCAATATTTGGAATGTTCCGATAGCTCCACAGCTTCTTCTTTCAAGTTCCATTCCTTCTGTAGTAAATCAATCACAATACAACATGAATTTGCATCATAATAATTTAGTTGATGAAGTTAGATATGTGCAATCAACTTCTATACCACTTAACAAGCGCTTTGGAAAGCTAAAAAATGAAGGTGATGATATAGCCCTTTACTCTACTGAATTAAATCTGAAAAATGATAATGCAAACAGTAATGCTGAAGGCTCAAATAATGATTTAAGGCAGTTATTATCAAAGAAAAAATATGTAAATTTTACTATTAATACCAAACAGCCAAAAGTGCTTCATGGTAGTAAGTATAGGTAACAGAGCATTTATTTGTTAATAATTTGTTATTCATTTTATCTATACCTATGTACTTTTGCAGATTCAAAATTAGTCAAAGATGTTTCCAAAAATACTGATACAGATACGTGTCATAAAGAAGAAATGGCTTGTTTACCAAATATACAGGTATAAATATTATGTGATAATTTAAATTTATGGACTCATTTAATTTAATTATCAAATAATTATTTTTTTATAAATTGTGCCATATAATTTTTTTTTACATTATTTATTCGTCCAGAACAATGGATTAAAACAAGACTGCTCACACTTAGATAAAACCCTCCATCATCATATGTTGGTTATAATTGTGTGTTATGATCTTATTCTAACTTTTAATACAGAGTGCCTTTACAATCGAGACAATAAATGAACACACATAGAGGATAACTTTTTTAAATTGTATTAAACATTTACATTCTTTAAACATCAATACTTACTGAGTTATTAAATTTTCCAAAACAAAGAATTTTAGAACACCTTTACGTATAAAACTGTAACGTAAAGTTCATTTGTAAATGTCACAAAGCATATAAATGGGTTGAATGAATTTAAAAGAGACAAAACATGCTATTAGAAGGAGAGGCTAGTAATGTGGCATTGTGGCAACGAATTAAAAAGTCTCTGAATGTATTAATCAGTCAGTTGTAGTTGTATAGGATGTTACAAGTTTTGTGTTTGTTTGAAAAAAAAATTTTTTTAATTATGGATTTTTTCTAACATTAATATTTTTTTATGATTATTGGAAAGTAGCGTTAGACATGTGTTCGTTTATTATCGCAGTGGTAACGACACACTGTATATTGCAATTTAAGTTTGATTAAAAAAAAAACCTGACATGTGTTATATGATCATTGCAGGAAACAGTCCAAAAGAAACTTAATGTTTCATATTTAAAAAAATTAGTCAAGCACTCTGATAATGATGAATTCTGGTATATTGTGGCTGATGCGAATATCTTTATAAATCATCATGGATTTTTGAAAAAGTTATTGAACTCTGGTACGTAATTAACAAATGAATTAATTATAATGCTCCACACAACAGTTGGGAATACGAGCTACAGCATGCCTACAAAAATGTATAAAGGACATAATTTACAGTAATAAGTTTATGTAAACAAATGTATGTATGTATATGTGGGTATTTCATGAATTTATTAGCTCATTATTATATCCTTAGAGTTTACAACTACCCTACTGCCCTAGTCATTCACTTTCTGTTTTACCTAAGGTTAACCGATAAAAATAACATTATAGCATTAAGGTCATCTTTGTACAATTTAAGTGCAATAAAGATTAAATAAATAAAGTTTATTTAAATTCTAATCTGGACAATTTGGTAATTTTTTATTTTTACTTTATTTATAAAGTCAGACAAATGGCATTTTGTCATAGGGCCCAGAACTTAGTATTAGTTTAAGGATGATGTCAGCTTTTAAAAAGGGTAATGTAAAGACATGCATTAGTTGGTCATTCTTCAAAACAATGGTAAGTACCACAACCTAACAGAAGACTGGCGTGAAGTAGAAGTGTCATACTTCTGTGTTTCATCTGGTGAGTGAGGTAGCCGGGGCCCACATTATTATAAGGTGGTAATACATCTGCAACCCTACAGTTTTTGTAAATGTCTATGAGCGGGGGTTATCACTTAACATCAGGTGAACAGCTAGCTATGTTGCCACCTTCTCACATATAATAAAACCCTAAAGTTTGTACAGACAGTCATCAGACATGTTTTATATTATGTTGTTAATCATTTATGCAATTTACTATAAATATAGTGTGTGCAAATTTTTTGAGATGAGATTAGGTTATAAATTATGATTTCATAAAGTAAGCCACTATTGCACCTTATATTATTTTAGATGAAGAATGTCGCCTATTAGTCTTGGATAATGTTATAGCAGATATTAGAAACGCCAGCAGAAGTGACAACTTTCGTCTGATAACTCTTGCTCGCCGTGCAATATGTAGTTTATCACAATTTATGAAAGATGGTACAGCTATTGTTGGTAAGTTTTTTTTTAAAAAGCCCCTACATCACAATCGCCCCGTTTGGCTCCTCTTTCTGTTACGTTGGTAACCAAGCCAGCTTTTAAACTATATTTTACTATAATCATCAAACATCCCAAGACCGCGAAGTTAAGATCCAGGTATCATAACACTCGATACTTTCGGCTAGACGCCATCTTGCAGCAGCGGTTCAACTAGTGGCGGGATTTTATTACAATCACGCAGAAAATGGCATAATAAACTTCCTTCTATTAACTACTTCATCGTTGAAAGACTCAAACGGGTCGCTGGGCTCATCCAGTAAAAAGCAAGCCTAAATCTAACTTCGGTTGGGCGCGTAATTCATACTCCGATGCCAAACCTTGTGAGCTGTTATCCTGTGTCTTCCGCTTATCGTTACTCTTTACTTATATAATATTATAAACGCGAAAGTTTGTATGTATGGATGTTTGTTACTCTTTCACGCAAAAGCTTCGAATGGATTTTAATGAAACTTTACAATAATATAGCTTATACATCAGAATAACACATACGCTATAATTTATACAAGACACTAGTGTCTCTCAAAGTAACTCTGTCTGTCTGTTACGCCTTCACAACTAAACTGCCGACCCAATTTTAATTTTGGTATAAAGATAGAGAACCCTAAAGCTTGCTGGTTTGTAGAGCGCATTTACGCACATAGAATACTGTTCTTATCTCTGGATCGGAGCACAATTATTGACCATCCTAACTGTATGGCCGGACGAACCATGGACGAATGAGTTCTTTTCGATTTTAGGCTTAGCCTTTAGCTTTAGCCTTCGCAAGGCTTTAGCTTTAGCCTTGCGAAGAGGCGCTTCAGCCTTTTAACTCGCTTATTGCCTTTACCGCGGGAAGTCATTCTGTTGAGTTTCAACAGCGTAAAACGAGTCAAAACTCCTGTGAATTTTTGTTGCAAGTCAAAGAAATATCAAAGAAATGTCCAAATTCACACAGGAGGTTCAGACTCGGTAGTATAATCTTTTATTGAAATAAAAACAAACTTTTTTCCAAAAAAATTGCCATTCCGTTCCCTAAAATGAAATGCAGAACAAACAATCCCAGAAATGGTAGTAATAGTCATTAATAAATGCGTCGTATACTTTTGAAACGAACTTGTGTGTGTGATCGTTATAAATGATCGCGCGTAAAATAGTTGCCCATTCACGCATTCTTTGAGATAAGTTCAAATGACTGTATAATTACGAGTGATTTTCTATATTTATCAAAATTTTATATAACATTATGTATGTCTAGAATTTTATAAAAAATGGATACACTTAGAAAAACCTCCCTGAATATTCCATTAACACTTCAATTCTTAGTTTTCAAATATTCGCACGAATTTTGCATTCTAATTAAGATTATTTCAATTTTTGTCTAAGGAATCCGAAGAGAAAAATTCCTTCTGCTTCCTGATCCATGACGCCGTTGATTGAGATTTGTGATCTTTTTGTAATATTTGCTCAATTAATATTATAAGTTTATTTTAGCCAGGGGTTACGCAACAGAAGATAATAATGAAAAATCTCACATTCTTGATTGTTGTCTGAAACTTATGAAGGAAAATTATGATATTGTACGTACAATTTTTATTTGAGAATTTTTGTTATTTTTTCTCAAAAACCACTGCTTAAAAAGGCATTATGAATTTTAGGTACTTTTGTGCAATAATAAAGAACTGCAAAACCATGAAAAGGCAGCGGGAATAACTATATTTACCGTAAATGAAATGAAATCGCTGATTAATGTTAGGCAATGGCAACAAGATATTGACGCGATAACAAAGTCGACGGTTCCAGTAAATCAAAAAATAATAATACCAAATAATGAAGTTAAACCGGACAATGGAAATCTTGTTGGATTTGAAACGGCATTAGTGGCTGAAAATGTTGATTTCAAACGTAAAACAAACACTGTTAGCGTAGGCATTCAAACAATCAACAACAGCCGTACGACAGTTGATATTGGGATTCAAACACAACTGAACATTGTCAATTACATGGATACAAAAAGCACCCAAACTTCAGTAGAATCGAGCACATCTGAAAAACTAAACTCGACGTCCGTTAAAAGGAAAGAGATTAAATTGACTCGTAATTTATTCAACCAGAGTCCTAAGAAACAAGACACAGAAAAAAGATGTTACAAATGGCGCAGGAAGAGGCATTTAAGTTCCTTAGAAAATTATGACACACAAGATAAAGTGACCAGTTCAATGGATAATTTATCTAATAGTTGGAACGATACCAAAAGACTCAAACTGGTTGATGATGCTGAACATCGTCTGGGTAGTATATCGAATAGTAGTGAAATTCAAGTTTCTGTGACCAACCAAGATAAATTGGATGACAGAGTCGTAGTAAAAGATACGTCTGGCGTTATGGTTATTGCGTCGAGAAGCCTTGAGTCTAATAGTGAATGTCTTGAAAATACGCAAAAACCGTCTAACATTAATGACGAAAGAGAAATGAGCAAAAATTTTATGTTTGAAGTAACCAGTGATGTCATGGCGGAGTATGTGAAAACACGATGCGATGAATGGGTATCGCGTTTTATACAAATTATGGAGGAGGTATTAACCCAAGTTTTGCAAAAGGATCCTCTGCCGTATCCTAATTCATTATCGCCGCCTTGGACTCTTCATGAAGCGACCCAATGCATTAAGATGAAATTCCTTTCTAATTGTGATATAGTGGACGGAGCCAATAAGTTATCTGAAATACTTTTGACATGTAGTGACCGAAAAGGTAAATGGCTTGTCTGAATTAAATACTTAACACTTAATAGTGGTAATGGAGCTAAATATGCCTATGTATGTGCCACTGCTGGGCCAAGGCCTCTGTACAGAGGGTATTAGCTACCACACGACCACACTGCGGACTGGCGGACTTCACATATCTTCGAAATATTTTTTTTATTTCGAAAATATGCGTGTTTCCTCACGAGATTTTCCTTCACCGCTGAACACGTGATAAATCGGCACTTAGAAATTGACAATATCTCTGGTGCTGGCACCTCTGATTGAACTCAGGTTGCTCGAGTATATTGAATTTAAAACAACTGTTATCTCTATGGTTACGATAACGAAAGGTTATTTTTTTTTAATTTTTCAGGTAAAATAGATGTACACATGAATCCAAACCAATATATGCAAATGTACAGCTATGGTGTGTACTTAATCAGTAGTTTACAGGTAAATGCCCAAATTTCTTTCGATTTTTTTTCTTTTACCAGAAAAACAAGATAAATTAAAACAGTGTTACATCAAATATTTATAAAATAAAATTTATCATGAATTAAAAATGTTTCCCGTTTCAAAGGAGCTGAACAATGATAACGAAGATCTCCAAACAGCTGCAGAATCTTTAGCGAAATTATTGAGAGATATCGAGAATCCTAACGCGGAAACTAGTCAAAACGATTCGTTCGCTGATTTAAGCCAGGAAACTGTCGTAGGTGGAAGTACTTCTACTACAACTAATACAGGTATATAAACCTTTTAAATACTGGCAGGACTAGTTTAAAAATTTTTTTTTGTTTCATTTAAGCCGCTGAAATCAGTTAAACAGTTTTGTTTCACAAGTCTGCCCTTTATTCCAATGTTTTTATTATTTAACATTATAGATTCGCCGGATATGCACACTGCTATGGGCACTTGTGACTTGCAACGAAAACAACATGAAATTGCCCCCGATGATGTTTTTTCCAAAATTGCCGAAACGAGCCAACTTGGTTAGTGTTAGTTCCCTATTCGTTAGAGTATGTTATGATTGCATGTTTTATTATTATTCTGAAGATATGGAGACTTAGCAAGCTTTTCATCTGATGGTAAGTGATAAACGTACACGTATAAAGTATAATAGAATTAGCGCAATTCTCAGAGGCCTGATAAAAAAAAAAGTAGGGCAATTTTCATTTAAACATTTGGGCAATTGTAATCCGAAAAATGGGTTAAAATATTAAAATATCTGTCGCTGCCATCCAGCCTCCTTACGACAACCAACGAATGCCAACGAAACCTAAAAACAAAGTAAAGAAATTGGTAACTAATTGGGTACCATTTTTTTTAAACAAGTCATAAATTGCTATGATTATTTTACGAAAAATTTATGTATGTCGATTTAATTAATGCAAGTACATATTATTATTATTATTAAATTTTGCCGCTACTTTAGGATAACCTTATGCTGTGTTGTAAGGACGTTGTACAAACGTAAATTTCACGTGGATGAACACCTTGATGCGAAACAACTATCTTTTAGTCTCAAAAATAGTTGTCGCGTGAGGGGATAGAACTCACGGTCCCGCCAACTGCGTCACGGAATCAATATATCAAGTAGAATATATGTATACGAATCTAAATATTTATTCCATATTAACTATACGATAATGAAACCAAGAGACCAATATTTTGATATTTTTCGTATCGATTTTTTTTTAATCTAAAAATTTTATGAATTTATTATATCTATTTTTAGTTACCATTAGGCATTTCGTTCCTAATAGATAAGATAGAGTGAGATACGTAACATTTGTAAAGTGTTAAAGTAGGTACTAGTATCACGTACGGATTTTTCTGAAACGCCAATGTCTTTCATGCTACTCGAATGCTCATTAAATATCGCGTTCTATTAAATCACAATTTTGACGACTGCTAGGCCAAGGCAAATTGTAACAAGTGCGTAAATTTCCGATAGTCTATATTTTTCAATCTATCTATCATCCGTTATGTTCTGTGTTCACAGAGGTGAAGGGGAAAACGGTTGCTGGCAGCCGAGATAGCTCTTATGTGCAACGAAACTCTAAGAACTGCAACAGCCCATCCAGACATAATCTAAGATCGCATTTCAAGATATCATTTCGAGTAAGATAACAAAATTTTCTATGATGTTTACCGCTTAAGAATCATATTTAGGTGTAAAATTTCACTAGAAAGTCTTAAATCTTGTATGTATTTGTAAAACTTATTTAATTAATTACTTTTTGCTAATTATAGTAATTTCTGTTCCATCTCATTCTTAAATGCACGATTGTATTGTAAATGTAAATGTACTTGTATTGATATACTGTAATTGTAATGCGTTCTCGCTATGCCTATAGGATCGACACAGTATCCATGGACTTTTGAAATTTTATCAAGTTGAGCCTGCGTACCTGTTTATACCGACATATTTTCAAATGTTGATTTTCATCTTCAGAGCACTGGACAAATCCGCAGGCCTGTTCAATTATTTAGATGTGCAGATCAAAAATCCGAATTTTTCGCTAATTTAAATTTGAGAAAGAACACTACTACGTGTGAAAATGGCGGTGATAACGTGGACGTTAATACATCGTGTACAAACGAGAATTGTTCTTCGGCATTGAACACCGAAGAACCCTTGAAAGCCGCAAACAACGTTACAACTGATGGTTCGTTGGCTAATGCGAATATTTCGCCCGTAACTGCCACTCAATCAACTGAGCCAAAAATTATCAGGCAATTTACGAAGCGTGTAGATTTCGAAGAGAAGATTAAGAGAATGGAAGTCGATGCAACAGTACTGGATGACTCGAATCAAACAGATGATGAATATTATGAATACGATTATCTGAATGATGCGGTAATCAGTGAAGACCGTACTGATAATGCTAAAGACAACAGCATCAACGATTTACATAAAAATAATAAGTCTTGTCGATCGTCGACACCTGAAAAAATAAAAATAAAAATCGTTGTTCTAAGATTTATACGTGAGATACGGGAAGCCTTTCTAGTAGCTTATGCCTTCTGGTAGGTTTGAGACATAATATTTTAAATATTGCCATCCGTATCATGATTTTTAAAAAATAATTTAGAAGATCTATAAAAATCTGTAAAAAGCTGGTTTAAGTTTTAAGTTATTAGCTAATTATTTATTCGATAAGCAAGATTAGGGCCACGCATCAGCTTCTTCTGTTGCACGGATGGGCAGGCTCGTCCGGGGAAGTACGCCGGTACCGCAGAAGTCAGAAGACGCGTGAAATGAAAGTACTATACTTTCGCGTTTCTTCTGGCGAGTCAGGTAGACGTAGCCAACGTTTTCAAAGGTTGGCAACGCATCAAATGCAAACCTAAGCTATTGTAGATGTCCATGGGCGACGTTAATCTCTTGACATATGGTGAACCACGCGCTCGATTGGAATTTTTAACGCAAAAATATAATCACAAATTGTTTTTCCTTACCCAGTCGTAAATCAGCACCGTAGTTGCAAATACCTATTTAATTGGTGCCAATTTCAGTCTTTTCAAAATGTCACCCTTTGCGTAACTACATATGGTTATTTATTTGATATTCATGATTTGATTTTGTTTTGTCTGATAAAAAATTTGAAACATTAATTAGTTTCTGTTTTTCAATAATACGATTTTCACTTTTCATAAATTTAAACACCTTAAATAAACGTATAGCAATTTGTCGCGTGTTAGTGGCATTAACCTTTCTAAGCCATTCTGTCGGTGTATAGGGTAATTTAAGTAAGTGCTTTTTGTTTATTATCTTGATGTATTTGACTTTTCATCCTTTTGTAGAACAATAGTTATTTATTTTTGTGTGTCCAATACCATTACATTAGTTTACATTTACTTACTATATAGCTAACATTTACTAAAGGATTTTCTATAACTTTAATTTGTAGCGACGAGTCTCAAAAGCGACTAAATGGATTTAGATTAGAAGCGACAATTGGTTTAATGTCGAAAGCCAAAGAGATCTATGCTACTATTGTAAATATTTGCGATGCTCTAAACAGGTAACTATCATTGACCCTCAATTTTAGGACTATAAAAATTAAAGGCTTGTAGCCACATAACACGTTGAAAACTTTTATAATTTCACTAGTTATGTTTTCCAGACACGCAATATGTTGTGAGAATAAAGTTATTATTCTCCATGAAACAGTTTTTATTTACTTTTATGAAATGTACAAGCGTTATTTAAAAAGTTTTATATTAATTTAAATTTTTACCGACTTTAAAACTTCATTCGGTTTTCTTTTTATCTTTGTTATCCCGAACTAATAAAAGATGTATGGGGACGGAGATATTTGAAGTCGGTTTTTTTTTGATAAAAACTTCTTTTCATTTATTTGGGTACTTTGGGTATTTTGGTTACTAGTGACGTGTACAATACCCAAAAACCGTCAATTTACCATTGAATCCCCATGTATTACTTTAACTATTTATGTTTCTGTTTTTTTTTAGTATTCATAGCAGAGATTTAACGGGAACAGGATTTATTATTGCGGAATTCATGAAAGAGGAAAAGGTTGATTTTGCATTCGATGAGCAGGATTTGCTGGAGTACAGGTAAGCTTTTAGCATTTACTTATTATTTATATATCTCGAATTTATATTTCTTTTTTCTATAGTCCGTGTGTTGTAGTTTGGTGCGGGTGACAGTTGCCATTCAAATCAAGTCTATCAAGTTCCTTAATTTGTGACGCTATACTGTACACAAGGTAATGTTATAATTTTAACACAGACGATAAATAAAATAAATCGAGTAAATTGTGTCTTTTTAAATTCAAAATCTATATTATTATAACCTTGGTCCGGCGTATTAAGCCGCCAATTGCTACATATGAAATGGCGAAAGAAAAAGGCCAACAGGTTCTACGAGTGCGGCCTTACTACCACTGCCAACATAACGCCATTTAAGTCATCTCGGGCTTAAGTTCAAGGTATATAATATTTTGTTGTGTATAACAATTTTGTTTTCAAATACTATTTCAATTTAACCATTTTAATAAATACGTCTTTTTCTCGAATGTTGCTTCCGTTTTCAATCGATACCAAATGCTAGGCTCTGGGAATCGATAATCGAAACCTACCAGTTTGAATAAAAGTTGTTCTAGTCCTATCAAACTTTCACCTGTCACACGCTTCAAGCTACAACGCACAGACCTAATGAATGATCATTTTAGTAAGAATTAAGTTTTTGAGTGAAAATCAGAGATTTCTATATATTCGTAAAAAGTTAATTATAATATTTATAGACATAGTAACTATAAAGAAATATTAATGTCAAACATTCCCAACATTTCCTATCAGTAGCACGAAAACCCAATAGGGTTGATAGGTTGACGGGTCAAATATCAAGCTAAAAAGACATCTGTAAAAACATCACAACGTACTATCAAGAAAATATTATATATAAAAATATAATTCCCTTGTTTCAGAGATTTCATTGAAAAGTGTCGGTTTCAAGCTAATTTACTTCGCGACACTGTTAAATGTATAATGTCGTATGCAACATAGAAATTACCTATGGTCACTTTTCACGTTTATCTATTGTAAATACACAAATAAATAAGTTTTTTTTTAAATTTGATTTTTATATTTAAGTAACAAAATGGGGTATTTTATTTTAACTTTGAAAAAATTTTAAAAGCTTATTAGGGATGTAAGTAAAAAACAGTAATTAAATTTAAATAAATTGGCATTGCTATTTTAATTTTACCAAGACTGCTACAAAGTAAGAAAAAGCTATTCGAATAGCATAATAAAAAATAATGGACTTTTTTATATCATCACTTTTATTACAAGCTTATTAAGTTCACCTTTGCCGGTGTATCCTAAGTGCCCAGTAACATGCAGGTTTGACCCACTTCGACGCAGTCTCGGATTGAGCTGAAATTTTTGTTCTCGTGACACTGCACGATTGTCTAAATTCCGCCATTTTTAATCCAATATGGCGCCCGCCAAAAAAAGGACGATTTATAATTTCCACATTAATATATGGGCTATATATGGGCTTGTTTTTACTAATGAATAATGAAAGCCTGTTTTTAAAAAAATTAAGCTTGCCTTTTTATAAACTTGCAAACTTTGAAATGAAGTATTGAGGCTATCATCGAAATGCATAGAATTGCAGTTAGTTTCTTTATTTAGGTACCGAAATATTAAAATACAGTAAAAGCTATTTTTTTTAAATCTTTAAATTTTATATTTTTAAATCGGATTGAATTTCCGAATTTTAGATTTCGAACAAGATTTTGAATTGTGAACTGACATATCTCTGTAATAATAGGTGGGAAAAAATCTTTGTAATAAAATCTCGTTGGTTGTGTTCTAATCTGTTTGTATCTGGCTGGTTTTAGTAGTGTTAAAATATGAGATTTTAAAAGAGAAATAATAATTAAAAAACAATTTTCCGCTACTTTCAATTGTTTTTCTCTCCATGGAAATGATTGAATTTGACGAAGCAATTCGTCCCAAAAAAGGCAAAATGCAACATAAGCCACAAAAAATTTGGGACTTATGTACCTAATGCAGTGTTAGTAAGCATAGCACAGTTATTTAAGCGTTTTATAGTTCGGAAATTTTGATGTCAAAGATGCAGCTTGTTCTGGTCACCCTTTTACATGTTACGGATAAAGTTAATGTCATTTCTGAAAAAGCATGTTCGGTATATCGGTTACGACGCAGCTAGAGAACTATGAACCCTAAAGTAGTTTTAACCCAATTAAAGAAGTCTCGACATTTGGGTGCCCCACGAACTCACTGAATCGTGTACTCATTTGGGATTCTCTGCTGAAAGTAATGAACCGATCCATTTTTGAAGGCATTGATTACTAGAGATGAAAAGTTGATCGCATACGACAAGAACGTGCGAAAAAGATCAATATCATATATTCAAGATTAAAGTGAGAGAAAACGGCCAGAATTTTTTCCATCGTGATAATATCAGACCAAAGAAGGCCGAAAATAGGTGGATATTCTTACGTACATACATGATGTTCTCAAGTATGTAAAGCGACGGGAACGCTAAAACGTTTATTTGCTTACATATATGCCGTAATGACCTACGTGGACCCAAGCCATAGACAGCTCGTATAGCCTGCTTTTGTAATACTGTATCTAAACCAAGGGCGGATCCAGCTTTGGTGGCAGGAGGGGGGTCACGTAGTCGTGGTCAAGTGATAAGACGTTATAATTTAATTTTTATAATCATAGATAGAAGTAAAAAGTAGGTACTTATTTTTAACCGAATTCAAAAAGAAGGAGGTTATCAATTCGGATGTTTATATTTTTTTTATGTGGCTATGTTCGGGCATACCTTCGTCATATATAGATGGATTTGCAAAATTCTGTTTTGCTCGTACATAGTGTTTATTATCATATATTATACAGGTGGCTTTTATAAAGGTGCCCGCCCAAATTCACACAGGAGGTTCAAACTCGGTAATATAATCGTTTATTGAAATAAAAACAAACTTTTTTAAAAAAAAAATTGGCATTCTATTTCCTAAAAACAACAACAAACTTGTTGACAATGCGGTAGTCATTCATAAATGCGTCTACTTTTGAAACGAATATGTGTGCGTGTTAGTTATCAATGATCGCGCGTAAAATAAATGAGTTGCCCATAAATCACGCACTTTCTGAGATAAGTTCAAATCAATGTAATTAATTAATTACGAGTGATTTTAAAAATTTATCATTTTTATATAACTTTATTTATGTTTAGAATTTAATAAAAAAAAATGGATACACTTAGGAAAGCCACCCTGTGTAGTATTTTTTTAAGTAGCTATTGGTAGGCTTACTTATTTTTGGAATTTCTTTTATTTGTTTCTTCGTTACCAAATTTTATGTAGTTGTATTGGTTATAATATTCTCTATTCCTCTACTCCGCACGCTGGCTCCACTTCAATGACAAGTAGCCTAAGACGAGACTATCGGGACACGGGTTGATATTAATATATAATCAACCCAAATGAAAACTCCTAAAATAGCCGTACACAATAATTTTTTTTCATAAATAACAAAAAAATATTTATTCAGTCATTCATTCATAATATTCAGCGCTTCTAATCCATCTAATCAAAGACAGATTCATAAGAAATGGAAAGAACAATCTTTATTTCCCAAAGATGGTCTCCACCACATCTCACCACCCATCAAAAACGGTCCACCCACTAAGACGAATCAAACTCGGCGCAGTTGTGTTATTTAATTACCGAGTTCCTATGGCCACATTCCAGCTCTGTCATCAGACCCTGGTTACCATCTAGTACCAAAGAACTCGTCATGACGAATCAGACGAGCCGAGACGCAATAGGGTTGCGTCGTTTCTTTACTGAATTCATATGACTATCTTCCAGCTCCATCATCAGATCAGACCCTGGTAACCATCTAAAAATTAGGAACTCACCAAGACGAATCAAACGAGCCGAATCTCGATGGGGTTGAGTCGTTTCATTACAGAGTAGTCATAGGAACCTCACAGAATAGCCTCATAGACCTCACAGAAGATCGGCGTAAAGTACTTCTTCTGCGATTTGTCTGGTGAGTACCTCACTCAAGAGATGCATTTTGCTCCGGCTCTGGTTACCTAGCCGGAGCCCACTTTATTATAAGGAGAAAACGCATCTGCAACCCTATGCATGGACGGCTGAAGATGGAGCTCCATCATCATATCGTAGTTACATCAAACAACTATCTGTGGACAGCACACATCGTTGTCCCGTATGGGAATCGAACCCACGACCCCCGACGAATACCAATCGAATTGAGAAACTCCTCCTTTTGAAGTCGGTTAAACATATTATATTATTTTAATTAAATATTGAAGGTACTTACATAAAATCTATATATGTGTGCAAAAACTATATAAAAACATTATGATTAACAATTTTAATTAGTGGTCCACCAATCCCCCCCTGGATCCGCCCTTGATCTAAACCGGATGCGGAACCCCAAAGTAAGACACCACAGGACATCATGCTGTGAAAATAAGCATAATAAACTAATTTAGCTGTTTCCTCGTGTCCAAAGACGGCAACGCTCAATTTCTTAGCTAACTTATCTACATGAAATCCCCATTGCAACTTGCGAGTCAACGCTTATATCAAGAAATGCTGTTGAATCCTCAAGGAGTAGGATTTTCTCATCAATAGAGATTCCCGATTGATGACACAATTTTGAAAGAGTAAATCTAATACATTTGTTTTATTGGAGTTCAAAAGTAAGTTATTACTAACTTTAAACAATAGTGAAGTGTCACCCGCAAACAAAACAATTTGAGACCTTTTTTTCACTATATATGGCAAATCAAGTTTGCATAAACAAAGCAATTACACCAAAAAATACCATTGGATGTAGGTATCTACAATCCATCCGAATGGCCATACTTCTGCATTTCGTCATACTTCTGGTGAATGAGGTAGCTCGGGCCACTTTATTAAAAGGTGGCAACGTATCTGCAACCTTACGGGTGCTGCAAATGTCCATGGGCAGCTGTAATTACTTAACATCAGGTGAACTCATCGGTGATCAGCTCGCTTGCCACGTCCTCATCATCACATAAAAAATGTATGAAAATTATCATTTAGTTTGTGAATTAAATTAAAAAAATAAACAGGTTACAACATAAGAATATGTAGTAACATTAATAACAATACGACGATTGCTAATCGCCCAAATTTTATTACGTCGAAGATTTTGCGCGGTAAGCATATCCACCACTTAGTTTAGTGGTTACTGCTTCTGGGCGCATTGAATCATAGCAGTTGCGAAAAAAATTTCGATAATTTGTCTACACATTTTAAGTTTCATCTTGTGTGTGTGTAGGTGGGTAGCAGTGTGTATAAGAGCGATAATAATAAATTTCAAAAGCAAAGAGACATCTATTTATTTCAAATATTCGTTGTAAAATTTCATTTAAGTAAGTTGCTTGATTCTAAGAAGCACACTAGATGGCACCAAGTATTGCTAAAATTGCAATAAAACAAACTAGATAATATTTCAAGATTTTTGCGTAGTGGGGTTATAAATTGAAAATACTATGTATTTCTACAGTTGTTTCAGATTTTACAAACTAAACAAATACAAAAAAGAACGAACTTATAACATATTTTCTATTAAATATATCTTTTCTTCCCCATTTGCAATGAAATAAATATCATGGTAAAAAAGGTTTATGAATAATTCATAGACGAAAACATAAGTTGATTCATTTCAATCATTAATATCACTCTAAATAAAAACATCCTCGTAAACTATGACATTATTTCTATTAAATAGCTCTCTTAAAGTGCTTATTATGACTAATTATTATATATTATGACTAGAAGTGTTTTAATTAAATCCTTTTCCTTCCACCATTGCTTGAGCGCAGTACTTGGGGAATTGAACAACTGATAATAAGAAGTCAGTCAGGCCCTGCAAAAAGAAAATACATAGGTAGTGTGAAAGAAGTAGAGGGATTCTTGCAAAATCCTAAACACGTATGTCTCAAACAGAAATAATATTAATTTCAAGAACTCTATTTTGTGGTTCCATTAGTTAAGATCAAGATTGGAGTCATTCTTGGGTTCTCACCAAAATAATACACAAAGATAATTTAAAAATTAAAAATCTTAAATTATCATTTGGCACATATTTGTAACTAGCTGCTGCCCGTGACTACGTCTGCGTAGAATAGGCTGAAGGTGTAACATTAAGACAGAAAGACAGATATACATAAAATATGTACATAAATTATAGCCTATGTCTTATTCTGATGTATATGCTATAGTATTATAAAATTTCATCAAAATCCATTCAGAAGTATGTGCGTTAAAGAGTAACAAACATACATCCATACATACAAACTTTCGCGTTTATACTATTAGTAAGGATTAAAACTATGAGAGCATAATTGCAATATTGAAACTGGTCTCAAATCCTAAATTCAAAAATGGTAAAATGAGAAAATATTTACCGTCAACGGCTCTATGCAAACTGTGAAGGGCAGAATGAGGATGTACACGCCGGCTGCCAGTCCAGCAATCCAAAAGGCAATAAAGATGAGGATCAAGAGCCAGATAATTGAGAAAATCACGTTACCCATGTTCTGAGGAGACAAAATAATAAAAAACTCAACATTTTGCTTTTAAGTACACTGTCTTTGAGCAAAATAAAGCTTGCTTTTTTATTACTGACTAGCGACCCTCCCCGGCTTGGTACGGGTGCAATGTATTATACATTTGTAAACCTTCCTCTTGAATCACTCTATCTAGCAAAAAAAACCGCATCAAGATCCGTTGTGTAGTTCTAAAGATCTAAGCATACATAGGGACAGACAGACAGCGGGACTACTTTGTTTTATACTATGTAGTGATGCACAGCAAAGAGACGTTTACATTTCAAATGACATTTTACCATAGTCACTCACTTGTTTTGCCTTCCCGGAACCCCTCCACTAACACTTAAACTTTATGTTATGGTATTAAAGTTCAAATTGACTTTTACGTATTATTACGAAAAAAAGTGTTGTTTTTAGACTTTCAGGCAATTTTTGAATTTTTTGCTTTCATGAAAACCTTCTGATAATAAAAAGCGCAACAAAAAAAAAGTGAAATCGGTCCAGCCGTTCACGCGTGATGGCGTGACCAAGGGAAATAGGGATTCATTTTTATATATATAGATTTTATAAACGATTTATTATACTTTTATTTAAAAACTAAATTCTACTTATAATACTTTCAAGATAAATTAAATAGTTTTTCGTGTAAAGTTTCCGCAACTGTATAAAGTGGTTTTAAAAAGTAACTTTATTTCATTATCGATTTTCAATTAAGATTAATTGTCTTGTTCATAATGATTATAGGCATTTTATTATATTAGGCCACATTAAAATTATGGAATTTGCATAGCAGTAACATTATTAAGAACTCACAAATACTGTATATATAGGTGGCCGTACCATTTCTTTTTAAGTAATCCGTCTTAAATTCAGGGTAGTTCAATATTTTAAATGAATTTGTTTTCTCCCTCTTTATTAACAGACTTCAAAAAAGGGGGTTTCTCAATTCGACCGTATATATTTTTTTTATGTGTTCGTGGATAACTTCGTCGTATATGAACCGATTTTGATGATTCTTTTTTTGACGGAAAGGAGATATCCCAAGGGTGGGACCAAGATAAGGAAACCCGGATCTGATGATAGCATCCCAGAGAAATCGAGTGCTATCATTGAATGTTATAGGTATTAACTATGTTTTTAATTTTCTGATAGAAGTCGGGTTTTTTTTGTTAAAAATTATACTTGTATTAGTACTTCTTTTGAAATTTCGTTCGTATTTATTCTCTTCAATTAAATGGCAATAATAAAAATATACCTACTTATTGTGACTAATTTCGATTAGAAAAAATAACAATAATTAATCCTATGGAAGGATTTGTGAATGCAAAAACTTGGTGGTAAATGACAGTGGTAGTTGATACAGTTGTGAAGTAATTAATGATAATTTTATCATCCTCCCAAAAGGTCAATTAGAATCGTATATAATGTTTAGCGTCATTATTTTACGCAACTTTATTTAATTCACACAAGTCTGTTACTCCTTTTTGCCCTTGACAAATTTTTCGTGTACATCTTATCTTGTGTGTCAACAACCTAACACAAACATCGATTACGCCGACACAGCTATTTAAAAAACCGTTATAATGAAACTTCTTTTCGTGTCTTTTATGAAATAATTTTATTTAAATATAAATTTATTAATTGGACTTTAAAAAATTATTCGGAAGAATAATTCACATAATATCGAGTGTGTAGGAAATAAATACGTCAAGTCACAATTTTCAAACTATCATCAATTCATCATCACGAATTCAATCTACGTAATTAAAAACGTTTGTATATGCAGTTTTTACATAGCTCCTCATTTTTGCTTTGGATATATAGGGTGGCTTTTATAAAGGTGCCCAAATTCATACAGGAGGTTCAGACTCGGTAGTATAATCGTTTATTGAAATAAAAACAAACTTTCTTTTTTCAAAAATAATTGCCATTCTATTTCCTAAAAAACAAAACATGTTGACAATGCGGTAGCATTCATAAATGCGTCGTATACTTTTGAAACGAACTTGTGTGCGTGTTAGTTATGAATGATCGCGCGTAAAATAAATGAGTTGCCCATAGGTCACGCACTTTCTGAGATAAGTTCAAATGAATGTAACTAATTAATTAAGAGTGATTTTAAATATTTATCATTTTTTATACAGCGTGTCGTTATCACCGCGACAATAAATGAACACACGTCTAACGCTACTTGCCAATAATCATAAAAAAATATTAGCGTTAATATATAATTAAAAACAATTTTTTTCAAACAAACTAATTGAGTAAAAAAGAAACAAAATTTGTTACATCTTATACAACTACAACTGACTGATTCATACATTCAAAGACTTTTTGATTCGTTGGCACAGCGTCGCATTACAAGCCTCTCCTTCTAACAGTATGTTTTGTCTCTTTTTAAATTCATTCAACCGCTCTACCTGCCTTCCTTGCTTCCGTGCATAGCGTAAATAATTTATGTAATAACATCCTTAATGACGATTCAGAACTTTCCTATGCAGAGGAGGCAAGGATGTCTTGGCTGTCTATCTGTCCCAACGAAAATATCCCACTGGAAGTAAACCTACAAAAACAGTGGGATGTTCCTTTGGTGCGGAGAGTACAGCGAGATACGTTTCAATCTTTAGAAAGTAATTTAGAGCGTGCCCGTTTCCTAGGAGTCTCATCTAAAGAATCGAGTTATTGGCTTCACGCTTTACCATCAAGTAACTTGGGCACATTACTTGACGATGAAAGCTTACGCATTGCTGTAGGAATCCGTCTGGGGGCACCGATTTGTCAACCACACCAATGCCCTTGTGGTGTCAGTGTAGACAAATATGGTCTCCACGGGCTTTCTTGTCAAAAAAGTGCTGGCCGTTTTTCTCGCCACGGTTCCCTGAACGACATCATCCGTAGGGCTCTTGTTTCCATCAATGTTCCATCTATTTTAGAGCCCTGTGGCATTTTACGCGACGATGGTAAGAGACCCGACGGTTTAACATTGATCCCTTGGGAGAGAGGCAAAGCCCTTGTTTGGGACGCCACTTGTGTAGACACTTTGGCTGCCTCTCATCTAAGGGGTACTTCGGTCAGGGCCGGGGCGGCATCGGAGGCAGCTGAAGTAAGTAAATGGCGCAAATATGAGTCTTTATGTTCAGATTATGTATTTGTGCCATTTGCTGTTGAAACGTTAGGTCCGTGGGGTCCCCGCACATCAAATTTTTTTAAAAGATTATGTCCTAGGCTTAACGCCGCGGCTGGTGACAAGAGAGCTGGTTCTTTTCTCGCGCAAAGGTTGAGCATAACTATTCAGCGAGGAAATGCAGCTAGCGTTCTTGGCACCATGCCGCGTGGATTAGGTTTATTAGATAATATGTAATTTTAGATAGATTTAATCTTGTAAATATTAGATCAATAAAGATTGTCTTTTCTTTCAACCCATTCATATGCTTTGTGACCTTTACAAAAGAACTACACGTTACAGTAGTTACGTTACGGTTTTATACGTAAGGGTGTTCTAAAATTCTTTGTTTTAGAAAATTTAATAACTTGGTAAATACTGATGTTTAAAGAATGAAAATGTTTAATACAATTTTAAAGTTATCCTTTATATGTGTTTACTGTCGCGATTGTAAAGACACGCTGTATAACATTATTAATGTCTGAAGTAAATAAAAAAATTGGATATACTTAGCTTAAAGCCTCCCTGTACATCAAAGTAACAGCCTATATAATATGTCCTACTGCTCTGCAAAAGCCACCTCTGTACAGAGGGAGGGGATAATCCACCACACGGCCCCACTGCGGATTGGCGAAGATCACATTTCTTCGGAATAATTTTTTGATATCTAAAATATGCTGGTTTCTTCACGATGTTTTCCTTCACCGCTGAGCACATGATAGTTTAGCATAATTATTATGATAATTTATAATAATTTAGCTAATAATATGATAATTTAGCACTTAAAATCGACAATTTCATTGGTGCCTTCTCCGGGTATCGAACTCAGGTTGCTCGAGTAAATGGAATTATCCCGTGCAATCACCTATCACGGCTATATATATATTGTTGTAACGTTTAAAAATGAATGATAATGTAATATTATTCATAAATGAAAAAAACATGTATGTATAAAAATGTCGCATCGCAAGTCCTTAAACTTTATGAAATACGTGGGTTTATTCATGCTCCTGAGGTCAACCTTCATCTAGAATGAGCTTCAAGGCCCAATTAATGCTTGTTTTAACACCACACGCATTTTATTGTTGAATCACTGGCGCGTGTTCGCACAATCATATAACGAAAATAGTACAACATTGCGCTCTAGTTAGCTCGCCAGGTATCACATTCTTAAACCCGTATCAGTTATTACGTCGACTGTTTTATAAGTCTCCCAAACTGGAAAGTTTTACAATGATTTCTGCTAGGCTATTTATGTCTAATAATTTTCATTCTTTTTATAAAATTATAACTTTTATAATATGATAAAATTAGCGGTGGTAGGGCCACGCAGAAGCCTCGGCTGTTGCACGAATGGGCAGGCTCGTAAGGGTAAGTACCGCGACCTCACAGAAAACCGGAGAAGTATAATACTTTCGCGTTTCGTTTGGTGAGTGAGGTGGCCGGAGCCCAATTTTCAAAAGGTTGGCAACGCATCTGGAACCCTAGGCTGTAGCAGATGTCCATGGGCGACGATATTCACTTAACATCAGGTGAACCGTCTGCTCGCTTGACAACTTTTCACATAAAAAAAAGAACTTTATACTTTTTGTATCTATTAAATTTTAGGCACATTCGTCTAAATTGAATAGGTATTCCACATGAGCAAAAGTTTTTGCCTCCTTTATAGTCTAGATAAATTATCGGCATCTAAAATTTGGAGTTAAACTTGACAAAAAAACCAATAGTGTAATTTTATAAGTAGAAAATTATCTTTCTCTAAAATAGCAATATTTGACAGCTGGTTTATACAACAAAAAAAACTGACCTATACCTATATAGAACCTGCATAATTTTTAATTTAAATAACGTACATAATTTTTGATTTTAAACATTATTTCATATCTCAATAATAATAAATACTTTGATAATAATTATCTCTTTTGACTAATTAAAATCACATCAGAGCCTACTGAGCCTACTGCCACAAAAAATACACATATTTATTAAAATCGCATTATTTCCAATAAAGTCCAATTTTAAATTCCCCGACTACACACCTTTAACATAAACCGTGATTTAAATTGATAAGCTATCTAGTAACATTTTTGATAAGAAAGCGTAATAATTCTCAGAATGCGCTTACGAATAACTTGGAAATTTCAAACTATGTGTCACGTGAAAATTTGTGTTTTCGTTTTAAGCGAAAACAATTGGATTTTAGTTAAGAAAGATGGACTCTTCTCAATCTAAATAAAGTTACAAATGCAACGAACATCGTGCATCCGGTGAAAGCGATTGAAGTAGGCAGGTACATGCACGTTTAAGGTCAAAGAATGTTTGGGCTGGCTGACATAGAGGAGGGACATGAGTTGATTTAACGATTCTCATACGGAATGGTTTTGATTCAAACCGGTAATGAACCCGTTGCATCGAGTTGGATAGTTTTATAACGCATGTGCACGATAACGAGTTTGCAGCTGCTTGTTTACACTTAGCTGCATGACGCTTGTTATTCAATAATGATTCAAGAAACTGTTTTATTGTCATTTTTGTCGACATCACTCTTATTTATAAAAAAGTACACAAAAGCATAACACATTTAATTGAAACATTTATACGGCTGTGTATTACTGTCTAAACGGCTTTAATTTTAAAAACGTTGTTCAAATTCAACGGATGCTTCAATCATCTAAATAGCTTATAACAAACGCATGAAGATAAATAAATTCTAACGTCTTACCGAAACTTCGTGTGTTACAACAACCAAATATTACAGTATACGTTATCACTACGACAAATAAACGGGTGTTCAACGAGCGTTCTGATACGAGACTGCTGCGTGAATTTTCGGAACGTAAACATAACATACGACGGCATGGTGACGAACGTGACGTGAGGCAAGCGTGATGACTCGTTTTTAAACTGAATTCTGTTAAAAGTTCTCTGTGGAAGCATGATATGGACATGGTAAAATGTTCAATAACGACCGCTCTTACGAGTAAGCACTGAACTCAGTTTATTCTAATCTGTAATAAACTCCTGATGCACTAAAAGACGCCAATGCTTGTTTATTTAAAAATCTTTTATACATTCACAAACTCACACATACGTACAAAGTTGTTGTTCAAAAATTTAAATAATTGAATAATTTATGATATTTTCATTAAACCAACGTGCGCCAAAGTTGTAGAAAAACATTAGATCTTGTAAACTATTTGATAAAACCAATTTTTATAGATTCCTAGCCTTGGCTTTATTAGCTTTGGTCTAGATTGTTTACTTGACGGGTTATAGTCATCACATTGTAAAACGAATTGTGCATGCATAATATGTCTCACCTCATGCGCATACCTTATCTGGTACTTGGAATGTTTGTTTCAAGGATTCATTTGCTACTACAAGTGTAATTGTAATACACAAACATCTAGTAACGCGAAATTTGGTTATATTGTGTTTTCGTTACTATTTGCTTGAAGTGTTACTTTTTAATTTGTGTACATTAACGTATACCAATCAATATTGTATGATTATGGTTGGACTTAATGCCTCCCACGTTTGTTTATGGCAATCGCGGATTAAATTGGGGTAGCGTCATTACAATCCATTTAAGTTTTTACGCAAATGGAAAAAAAATAGAGACATGTCCATATGTGCTAAAATACCTGGTTTATGTATGTGACACAGACAAAAAATGACACACATACTATGTGTGTCATTTGTTCCTATTTAAGAACTAATAAAAGGGTGAATAAGATATAGCCTTTGTATGTGTAGCCCTGTGATTTAACTTTACGTATCGGTTTCATGTGCCAAAGCTTATGATGTATCTATATATTGTTGACTCATGTTCGTCTCGTATTGGATGTTTTCGTTAAGAATCGTACGCAAGTCTTCAATAAAGGACCTCTATCTATACACTATATAAGAATAATCAAAAACACTTTCTGAAACTAAGGCACCTGTATTTCTTACAATATTTATGTAAGAATAATAAGAAGGAACAGGTTTTTCAAATTTGTATCAGTTGTCTTATAACCAGATAATAGATGTACAAACGTATATTAAATGTACTTACATGTTTGTTACCGCAGCCCGAAAGGTGTCTGTCACATTATAGAAAAATGTCAAAAAGTCGACCAACGGGTTTTCTAATTTAAAAACATGAGAAAAATTTAGCTTAAATGTAAAGTTTGTCATATTTGAGTCCATTTTTGTAAATGTCAAGTATGTATATAAACAGTAGTATATTGATTTGATTTTAGTTGAGAAACTTAAATCCATGACACAAAAACGGCTTTTAGTTCTACTTATTCTCTTTATTAATGGCTTGCTTTGTCAGTTATCACAATGATATTATATAGAAAAACTAGGTAGATATGACACTAGCGCACCGTAACTGAGGCGCTCAAAATACGCCAATTGGTGTAATTCTATAGACTGCTATCTCCTTCCGTATCATACGTTCTATATCATCTGTCACATTTACTTTTATATGTCATACAATGTAGTTAGATCGGAACAATTTTTAAACGCAGCGTAGTATGGACATGCGTCATCTATATTAAAAAACATCATTGAGTTAACACAATTCCGCCAATGTCAAGTTGTTCTTAAAATGCTCAATTTTATAATAATCATATTAAAATTGTAATAGACAAATAAAAACTTCAAAAATCCAAAAACGATATTATTGCTATCCGGCTTTTGGTTTCGTAAACATTGACGACAACATTTAAGTATCGTATAAAATAACAAAAACTGAATTAATAAATTGAATTAATTAAATAATGCTACAAGTTGCCACTAAAGAAACATTTAAAACATTTTAAAAGTTATTGGTAATTCGACGTATTCCCGTTATGAGGCTTAACATCAACGGCTACATCGCCGCTTACCATCAGGTTGGATAGCAGTCAAGTGCTAGCCATTTTTAAATTAAAAAAAAAAAATTATTTGCAAAAGTGAACCATTTCTGAGTTATCATGTTTTTTAGCTTTTTTCAAAATAAGTGAAAAATTTAGAACCAGTAACAATGTAGTCGTAATAACAGTTTATAAGAAGTAACAATTAAGACATTAGGTATAGCCTAATTTAAGTTCTTGCTCGAATTGTCTTCCCTTATTGCGTACTTGTTACTTATTATTTTTATTGATGATTGAACTGTCACTGGTTCTAAGTTTTATTTTAAATTTGTATTTTTTTGTTTTATTTACATTGGGTACTGTTTCTAATTTTATGGAAATTTCCGCCTGCTTCCTATGTGATATTTTCAAGTTTCGTTGAAATAAGTTCCTAGTTGTTTGCGTTGTTGTCGAGCTTAGAAAACGGTTATGTTTTTAAAATAATCTGCAAGCCAAAATTTCATAATTTATTACAGCATTTAATTTGAAAAAAACCTCAAAACAAATATTGAAACTATATAGTTTTTCGTCTCGCATTTTTAAATGTTGACCAACAATTGTTATTTCACTATTGATAAATAATCAGTGTTTTATAAATAAGAAGTAAATTCAATTTAAATTCATACTTTTTTTTGAATAATTTTTAGATGTTGCGTTTTTGATTTAATAAAAAAAGCTAAAAAACATTTTAACTCAAAAATGTTTCATTTTTGCATATGAGGGTTAAAATGATCGCAAATAGTCACACCAATCACCTAAAGGGAATTCGTCGAATTACCAATTACCATCATCAATCACTACGGCTTAATTTAGCGGTTTATTTATAAGCTCGCTGGTAGTTCCAGATTAAATAATTAAAAATTAGCGCGATTACACGTCAAACGGTCGATTTCATTTCTTTCGAGTCGACGCTGTCAATCCCACCCTCGACCTCGAAATCGGCACAGCCCTATACGCGAACGATCGCAATAACAGCCGCATCCCACTCCACGCCCTAGACGAAAGGACAGACAGTAGCGCACGCATACAGGTCAAGCGAGAGAAGAGTAACCGGACCATGCTTAGTTGTCATTCGGGTTACTACCGAACGAAAATTATTATGGTAGCCATTACCTAGGTAAGCACATATCTATCTGGGCGTTACTTGAGATAAAAAATTGAAATCCAAACAGCACATTATCACTATATCCAATAATCCGAGGTATGTTATGACCAGCCTGGCGTTTAAGTGATTACCGCCGCTCACAGACATTTACAACTCTTTTGAGATGACAGATGCGTTACCAACGTTCAAAGAATTTTTTCATATTCACTACACTCATCAGACATAACGCAAAAGTATGACACCTCCACTTTACGCCGATTTTCTGTAAGGCATAAGACGTCCCTAGACAAGCTTGATCATTCCTGCAACAACAGAAGCTGCTGCATGGCCCTTCTTCTTTCCGCTGTCAGATTATTAGTATTCCTCTGCATGTATACCCTTCAACCACATTCATACTCATCATTATTCTAGGCACATGAATTTTATTCCTTCTCATAACGTGCCCATACCATGTCAATCTACCACTCCTTATTTTCACTGTCACTGGTGCCACTTTCAAGCTTTCTCATACATTAGTATGTACTCATTCTGGATCTTATCCTTCCTGGGCACACCGCACATCTCAACATTCGCATCTCTGTCACGTGCATTTTTCTTTCATTCGTCTCTTTTGCCCTTTGAGTTTCAAGGGTATTCGCGGGTCACATTGTACCTCCTGAGAAGTGAGACCTGTCGCTATTTCATCCAGGCTGCATTTATTCTATTTATAACATTTGGGTAATGCCGCCTTCATATATATTTAAAATCGGCGCAGACCGGAAGGTGCAAAATACTTAAGGCTATCGAAATCGCAAAAACAGGTCTTTTATTTTGGTGGCACTAATCTTTAGGTCAACGCTTTCCAGTCTCTCCCACCATTTTTCCAGTGTACTCTGGCCACGGCGTGGCCCTATCACAGTAAAAATAATTTCACTAATTAATTTTTTTTCTAAAATAGAACATATTAACTTTATACCTCGCGATTATTTAATTAAGCAGTATTGCGTTTTGTGTCAACTATCTCATGAATTGAATTAAAAAAAATGTGTCAACTGTCAAATTCATTAGGAAATCTGGAACTAGATGACAAGATGACTTAACGAAAATAAATAATACTATTCAGTATTAAACGTAGTGATTACATTCTCTTTGATACTATTGTGAAAGACGAACGTTGTAGTTATAGATATTAATATTTAAATAAATAATAAAACACGCAGTGATTATATACTCTTTGAAATAATAGACTTTTAATGTTTATGTGTTTATTTAAGTTGCGTTATTGTAATATTCAATTATTATGGCCGATTATTTCCATGAAATGGGTTGGAACGAGTTAGGCGAGGGAGAGCAGCCAAATCACATACTTCATATGGCTAGATTTCTTGTAGACTTTGGTTTTGACAATGATAATCCTAATATGAATTGGCATAGGTGATTCACTCAATATGGTTCACTTTTACTATTAAATATTGTTGCTTACAATTGTCTGTTTTAAGTAAATTGTGTTATGAAAGTTAAAAACAAAATTTAACTCTTTTTTGTAGTTTACCACCACCTGCATCTAAGGAAATTGTTAGAAACTTACCCGAATTTACAATTGACACTGAAGGTAAAAATTGTCCAATATGTCTTAAAGAATTTAAAAAAAAGGAAAAAGCGAAGAAATTGCCCTGTGAACATTTTTTTCATTCCACTTGTATTTTAACATGGTTGGACAAGGTAAGACAACTAAAATTAAATTATTCGATCATTTCTCTTCATTCCTACAAAAATTATGCTTGCACAGACTCTTCTCCTTCCAATTCCGAACAATTAAATAAGCTTGAGAAACTCCAAAATACTAGCATTCGGTTCATATTTGGGTTGCGTAAATATTACCATATTTTTCAATTTCGTAAACGTCTCAAGTGGTTACACATCTGATTTCACCGGAATTTACATATCCTTTCCGTTTTGTACTTGTTGAGGTAGCCGGAGCCCAATTTTCAAAAGGTTGTCAACACAACTGTAACCCTCGGGTATAGCAGATGTCCAAGGGCGGCGGTATTCACTTACCATCATGTGAACCGTCTGCTCCTTTGGCATCTTTTCACATAAAAAAAATTAAAAAAAAAAAATAATTTGTGATAGAATGGTGGCAAGAATGTTGTTCTTTGCTGAAAATAGATTGAGAAATTTCATCATTGAGTGAGAATAAAACGGCCCCTCTTATCACCTGCTGCATGTTTATTTTAATTATTATTTTCAGACTAACTCATGTCCTTTTTGTCGGTTAGAGTTGCCAACAGATGATGAAAGATATGAAACATTTAAAAAGGAAAAGAAACGTGCACAACAAAGGGTAGAAGATTTAGAGACATTACATAGTTCAATGTTTAGTTGAATATAGAAATCACTAATAACTATGTCACAAAATGCAGAATAATAAATAAACATTATAAGGACCAAAATATTTTTTGTAGTAACTTGATGAAGAGATGTCGAAATTCTGTTCAATGATTTTTAAATGCTACATTATTTCCAAGTTGTTAGGTTTATTTTTATTGCTTGTTATATTCATATTCTTTACATTATTAAATTGTACTATAAACGTTTAATATGAAAGCTTGTCTCATTTTATTATTTATACAGCGTGTCGTTACCATCGCGACAATAAATGAACGCGTCTAACGCTACTTGCCAATAATTATAAAAAAATATTAACGTTAAAAAAATTAATAATTAAAAAAAAAATTTTCAAACAAACTAATTAAGTAAAAAAGAAACAAAATTTGTAACATCCTATACAACTCGCGCCACAGCGTCGCATTACAGGCCTCTCCTTCTAGCAGTATGTTTTGTCTCTTTTAAATTCATTCAACCCATTCATATGCTTTGTGATCTTTATAAATGAACTTTACGTTTTTTACGCAAGGTGTTCTAAAATTCTTTGTTATGGAAATTTTAATAATTCTGTAATTATTGATGTTTAAAGAATGTAAATGTTTAATACAATTTTAAAAAGTTATCCTCTATATGTGTTCATTTATTGTCGCGATGGTAAAGACACGCTGTATATGGTAATGTTAATAGTTTGCTGACAGAATCCAAAAAATATCATCTTTTGTATTATGTCAGTACTATGTGGTATGGTACATTATAAATTAAAAATTTACATTTTATGATTATTTTTATTTTTTGTTTTAATCTGCTCTAGTGAGGGAATAGTTATAAAGTCCATATTTGTTATTTTTTTAGCATATGGAAGACGCAGGTTCGAATCCCGCAATGCCGAAAACTTTTCGTCAATTTATTTCGTGAACGGTGCACTGCTTTACCGCTAATGATATGATATTAAGTGCCTGTTTTGAATACAAAAATTTGGCCACAGTTTCGGTTACAGACATAGTTTCGTTTTCAACTAATTATTACCATTTATATTAATACCATTAATTGTACCTACGACCTTCGTATTTTAATTTGACAGTATTTTACTGACAGTAATTTATATACTCGTATTCCTTTTTTGATATACCTAAACCTACATTGAGTTAAATAACCTACAGTGAGTTTTCCACACAAAACTTTTTATTTGTGACTGACCAAAACAATTCTAAAATCAAAGTCAGATGTCGCAATAAATTATTCGCTATGGCGTTGCTAATGAAAAGTGACATTTGGCTGACGCAGTTATAAAGAAAATATCATAAATTAAATTTAAAAGTATGTGTATCGTGTTAAACATAAAATTTACGTAAAAGTTCACGTTTCATAATGAATAACAAAAAGCGGTAAGTTGTTTTATCCATTTTTAAAGTAATATATTACAGAGAGGACCATACACATCAATTATCACTAATTAATTATCAGCGATTATGAGAATAAGCATAATAAATTCTCTGAATTAAGATTGTCCTCGCCAAAATTGAATAATGATTTCTATTGATTAAATTACACACTTTATCTGTTTTTTATAGGTAAGTAAATTCATTGTTTCTCACAATGAAACTTTCGGTAATGTGTAATTATACTTTTGTACAAAATACATTAAAGACACATGATTACATGTCTTACTTTACCTTTAAAAATTAAATAATACCATAATGTAACAATTTTTGAAAAGGTGATATATTTCGAAATCTTTCTTAGGATACCTAGATCGCATGTCCTAAGGTCAAAGTGAATAATTGTTTGGAAATTATAAATCTGAAGTCATATGATAATTTAATTTGTATTTATTTCATAAAGATCTTTTCCATTATATTGCAGAACCTGCAAATGTCCCGCAAAATTGAGAAAATATTGTAAACACATTCAATTTACGGATTGCAAAAATGTAAGGGAAATAATTGAAGCTCTCCTTTTTCAGGAAGAGCGTAAGTTAGATAAATCTGTTTGCTTTTAGATGAATTATGATGAGTAATGATGTTGATTAATAAGTTATCGACCTGAAGTAGCCTTTATAAATAGCATAAAACTTGCGTTTTATTGAACACGAGCTGCTGCTCGCGACTACGTCTGCGTAGAATAGGCTGAAGGCGTAACATTTAGACAGAAAGACTGTTGAAAAATGTATATACATAAAATATGTATATAAGTTATAGCCTATGTCTTATTCTGATGTATAAACTATATTATTGTAAAGTTTCATTATAAAATTCCATTATTTGCGTGAAAGTAGTATTTGCGTGATAGAAGCAATAAATAAGTTGCATGTAAACAACCATCGCGCAATTTATTGCATTCATCCATAAGAAAATGGCATCGTAAATGGGCAAATCCTTTCGCGTTTATACTATTAGTAAGGATTATCTTAAGAAATTTAAGTAAAGTAACAGCCTATTTATGCTGCATAACTGCTGGGCAAAGGCCTCCTCTATACAGAGGGTATCAGGGCATAGTCCACCACGCGGCCCCACTGCGGATTGGCGGACTTCACATAATATCTTCGAAATACATTTTGTTTTTTGTTATTATTTCGAAAATATGCAGGTTTCCTCACGATGTTTTCTCTCATCACGGAGCACGTGATAAGTCAGCACTTAAAGTTAAGAACTTCATTGGTGCCGGCACCGGTGGTCGAACTCAGGTTGCTCGAGTATATATTGAATTAAAGGCGAGCGCCCGGACACTGAGCTATCACTGCTCAGAAATTGAAAAGTTACAATAAATTAATAACACCATTTTGCTTCCCTAAAAGTGGCAAGAGACGCTAACAGGTCCAAGGCGTACAAAGTCCCACATTTTAAGATGAAGCCTTTCAAGCCACGCCATTACAAAGACACTTGTGTACCCATGGTTCCGTCTATGCATACAAGGTAATCATTGAATCAAAAAGAGAAATCTTTGACAACAGCCGTTTAGTTTATAATATTTGTCATGAATCTGTATACTAATTTTATTTGCTATATCTAACAATGTAAATAAAGAATAGCAAATCTGTATTTTACGTTTTATAAGGCGTAATGAACCTAGATTGTCCTAGATACTTGCCCCACTTAACTAATTACGAAATATAATAATTATTTATTTCAATGAGGAACATTATTTTCCGCCAAAATTTTTGAATATAATGGTTAAAATACTAATTGATGATCGTTAAACAAAGGAATAAGGATTTTTATGAAGAATTAAGTATGTCTTGACATAAACTAAGTAAAATAGAGACGAATTTTCCAATTCTTTACTTATTTGTAATACTACTGTAAATTTTTCAACAATTCCAAACATTTTCATTTTCAGGTTACGGTATATTGGACATTGTCCTATTGAACCGGCCACACCATCAAGCTTGAAGTCAAGGTTTGCTATTATATATTGTATTGTATTATATATATATATATATATATATATATATATATATATATATATTGTATTTTATTTTTAAATCTAACTAATAGCAGTATTTTCCACGATTTTACGAATAGTACCTACATACAGCGTAAGTACATTATTACAAATATGATATCATAGACCGATGTGTTTTGCGGTTAAAAGGTATCGATATTAAAATAAGTTTTTGCATAAGTATTATAAATATCAAGTATAACACTCACTATACACTGTTCAAGTAGGTACTTTCAAGACCCTAAGCAATTAATAATTTGGAGTAATCCGGGCAATATTCTTAGTTGATACCTATTTGTACCTACTTTCACCATAATGCATTGACTGCACGAATGGTAAAGTGCTCTTTATGGTTACCTCTTCAACAGACATTTCGCGTCTTATTATGGGATCGATTCCCACACGGTCACAGAAAATTATGATAGGTGATTGTTTGTGTTTTGTTTCTACTTTATGTAGAGTACGTGACACCGGGTTTAGCGTGAGTCGTTTATAAGTTAAAGATACTATATAAACGAATTTATACATGATCCTGATGATGATCATGAATCCTTTACAATCTTTAATTATTTTACATTATTAGTATTTATTGAAGAGTCGATTTTTTTATGTACTTATTATGTTTTACAGGCGTTCATATGCCGATTTTGATTTTATATCGACATCCGAGGAAGATATGGAAAGTGGAGGTATTTTACGAAGTGGGAAGAAGATAAGAAAAAAGAAAAAAGTTCGCTATTACGATCTCCTACCAGGAGATGTACACTTGCCGTCGCCGTCACCCGTCATACACCATACATCATCTGATAGATCGATATTGAATGTTAGAATTAATCTTAAATTTTTCCCGGCCAAGGCAACAAAGATAAGTTGCTTATAAAGGGCGCGCAAAACATTAATACACCTCAGGCGCAGTTTACATGTCTACGAAAAGCGTTGTAATGTTGAAATGGATTTGTGCGTAAAGGGGAACTAGTTGTAACGAAATTGGTTTCGTGAACATTTTATTTCATTAATATTTATTGATAATGGTGTGATTCTGTTATGGGAAACATAACTTTTTTGTTGCACGAATGGGCAGGCCCGTCCGGGTAAGTACCACGACCTCACAGAAGGCCAGCGTAAAGTGGAACTATGAAAAATACTTTCGCGTTTCGTCTGATGAGCGAGGTAGCCGGAGCCCAATTATCAAAAGGTTCTCAACGCATCTGTAACCCTCGGGCGTAGCAGATGTACATTCACTTACCATCAGGTGAACCGTCTGCTCGTTTGGCAACTTTTCACATAAAAAAAAGGCTAGCGAGCTGGCGGTTCACCTGTTTTTAAGTGGCAGCCGCCCATGGACATTCATGCAACACATTGGTTGCTGATGCGTTGCCACCTTTTAATAAAGTGGCCCATTGCACTTCACGCCGGTCTTCTATGCGGCCGAGGTACTTCCTCAGACAGACCTGCCCATCATGCAACAACGAACTGTTGCGTGGCCCAATCGCAGTCAAAATTCTTGATTTTCGCACTCGACGGTACATGCGCAAAAGTAATTGAGCCCATTTTACTCTGTCGCATCTATGTTTTGCGCGGCCTATTTGAGGATTGTATGTTACTATATTAGAGGTTGTCAGCATCTATCTATATGATAAATAACCTCTGCTAACCTTAAAGTATTGAGCGTTCCCTTATTTCCCGTTTATAATTAAAAATAGGTACCAAGTCCTAAAGTAAGTGGGGAAGTTATATCAGCACAAAGAGCATCCGTGCACGCGGCCGAATTGAAACCGCCCTTACCATCTAAAGCTGGTTATGAGTAAGCAGATTTACTTTCTTTACCGAGGAATTATTATTAGACGATCATATACATTCATCGATAGACAATCGACAATCACGACCGGTTTTAATATCCTTTCTGTAGATTTGGTTACTAACGATAGATATTTGACATAACCTCCATAATACTTCAACATTCTATTTAGAGTAAACAATAAAATCTCGAAAAACCGTACAGGTAGATGGAATATTGAAACCGGCCGTTCATTTTTCTGTTGCTTCGCACGGCAAGCAAGTATTGGGAATTTCCATTATCCAAGAATTTTAGAAACATAATCACTAGTACTCCTAGTCAATTGACAGAGTTTTGTATTTAGGACTACTGGTCGCTCTTGAATGCTTGAATATATCTTCTATTGACATTAAATAAAATTAATTAATTTCCACCCAAGTTCAGTCTTAATAATTCTGTAAGACTGTAATTATTTATTTATACTAATTACTCTATTTGTAAATCATGAATTTATTGTTATGTATTTGACGTTCCTGAGCGGGTCCGTAAATTATTTTTCCAAAGCACAGTCAAAGAATAGCTTTTAACGTGTTATAGTGAATATAAATATAATTATATATTCAGTAGGTTTGTTTGTTTCATAATATGTACCTAATGTATTGCTTTAAATCATTTGCAATTCTTTCAGATTGATAAAACCGCACAGTGGCATAGTAATTAACGCCGACAAAGATTACGTTTTGGATATTCCTCAATTGCCTGGACCAGGGTAAAATAAAATCTATTGTGTGCAGTCGTTACCTTGTATTAATTGGTTATCTAATATTACTGATATAATTTTAGAAGTGAATACGCCAAAAAGAAGGGGCAATATAAAGGAAGGTAAGCCAATTTAAATTGTTCTTGCTGACTTAACTATTAACGTGATCTGATTGATGACTCCGTGGCGCAGTTGCCAAGGTTGGCTTTGGCAAGAGTTGGTTGGCTTCGGCGTCGGCGGTCGTGGGTTCGAACCCAACACGGGACAATTATTTGTTCCGTATTGGGTTCGAATGATAGTTGTTTCGCATCTGGGTGTTTGTTCACGTGAAATTTATGTTTGTAACACGTCCTTATAACAGAGGATAATGTTATCCTAAAATACGGGCAATGTTTAAAAAAAAACACCAATAACAGTTAAAAATAGTTTAGGTTAAAGACCTAAACATACATAGGGACGACTTTGTTTTATACTATGTAGTGATTTTTATCGCACACAATTTATGGTGGTACTTAACTTGTTGTTGTTCTTTCAGAATATGTGGCATGAAAAAGTGTAGGGGGAAAAGATGTCGGTGAGTTTTTTTATTATTATTTATTTTAATTGAAAACGGAATTTTATGAAATCAAATTAATCTTGTCCCTGTAATAAAAAATAACAGCAGTTAGCTCCCAAACTATGCTAAGTGAATATGAATGGAAACTTATATCACGCTTTTAATACAAATTTATTGTTAAATTAAAATTGTTTCTAATATTAGAAAATGCGCTCAAATGCGGCGACGACGGCAGAAAAGAAAAAGGTACGATAAATGATGATAATTTTTATTGTTTACGCATCGAACAATTTTCTCGTAATCAGTAATCTCGGCTCTAAATTTATTTTTAGGCTTCATTCGGACTTACCCTATACAGTCATTGGAGTGACAGATGGAAAACCTAGGGCCAGAGGGACACAAAAACATTTAAAAGACGACGATTCCGTCTGTGGTCTTGATGAAATACCAAAGCCAGAACATGTTAGTAGTACAATATACATACACTAGCAGACCAGACAGACGTCCTGTACACACGTCTGAAATTCGAAAATTTTTGAATAACTTTGTGAATCTAAACCATTCTCTTATCCACCTGAACACACACAAAAAAATCATTAAAATCTGTCCAGCCGTTTAGGAGTGCAGTCACATATACACGTACAGAAGAATTATATATGTATAATTAAAGATATATCTCTGGACACTAAAATCGCTAATGTCTCTAACCGGATAATCATTGTAGGTGCACATTCCTGCGAATCTTCAAAGAGGAACACTAAAAACACATTCCTTAACGGTGTTACCATGCACAAAGGAAAGAAGACCCGACATTCATTACGGTATTTTGACAGGATCCTTCAATATGTACGACAATAAATTTGGTAAGTTGTTAGTTAATTCATTAATGCATTTTGAATTGTTGTTAATGAATGAAATCTGTGTCTTGTGCTTGTTTAACATTATCAAAATATTATATATTCTGACATTTCCTTTGATGACCATTTCGTCGCCTGCCACTAAAGTGGCTAGTTTAAATTAATGATTAAAATTGATATTTTCTTTTTTTTTTTATATGTTCTTACATATTTAAGGCAACAGATCTAGAGGCAGACAAGCATTAGCCATGAGTGTGATGGCGTATTGCCTAGCGTTCCATTATCATCCAAAACAATGGACGATGAAACTCATAGACAATCTAATAGACGCCGGAGATCAATGGTTTGTGGTATATTTTTTTAAGATATGTTCTATATTTTTTTTCGTTCGTTTGAAAAGACTGGCATACCTTGACTTCCACCAAACTTTTACTTTAGTTCCACGCCTGTTAACACTTTATGTGATCTACTTAAGTATCGGCGTGTCCTCTAAAACATTTTTTAACATAATATTACAACTATAACATGGTTGTTACTGGGAAGTGACAGTTAAATTTTGAAGGGTATAGGAATGCTCAGATGAGGGAAACCAACCTTTTATTAATATTATTTATTATTATTTAGGATATCACTGACCGTTTTTTACTGTAATACATTTTCTTAAGATCATAGTGTAACTTTTCTATCCACTGACAAAGAGAACAATTACTAGTGTTGTGCTGTGTGCACTTCTTAATAGCGATGTACCCACTAACACCTTCTCCTATTCTTAAGATGTTATTCTATGCTATCAAAATTTTAAATTATACAAATTTTGAAGTAGGTGCTTCTTAAGTTATATTCCTATATCATGAACTTATTTAGTTGACAATATTTTGGGCGTGAAAATTAAATTTATTATTCAACAATGGTTTTGTAAATATGTCTGTAGTCTGTTTATCAGTGGGACAATATTTAATATTAATTTTACCCTTTTTATAATTTTCATGAATAAAATAGTACCTCACATCAATGTGTTTGGATCTTTTATTGAATGAACCTGTTTTGATCAGCTGAATAGCGCTTTGGTTATCCACATTTAATATCATTTCAACTTCAGTTCCAATCAGCTCCTTTAAAAATGACTTTAAATAAAAGCATTCCTTACAGCAATCAGCTGCTGCAATATACTCTGCCTCGGTTGATGATAAGGCAACAATTGGTTGTTGTTTTGAACACCAAGACACAGGTCCTTCTGCCAACATTATCACAAATCCGGTTGTACTGCGTCTTGTCTTGGTACAATTGGCATAGTCTGCATCACAGTATGCATTTAATTTTGAAATATCTCCTCCTTTCTTGTACATGATTCCTTTCTGTCTTGTTCCATTTAAATATTTTAGTATTTTCTTTGCAGCTATCACATTATCTTTCGTAGGGTTTTCTATTTTTCTACTTGCTTCATTTACAGCTTGACTTATGTCTGGCCTTGTTCTTGTAGATACGTATAGAAGTCCTCCAATCAGTTCTCTATATGGGAAATTTGTAGTATCTGTGTTTTGCGTTTCTGTTTTCTTTTCTGTATTGCAAGGTGTATAACAGGCTTAGAATCGTCCATACTAAATTTCTTCAATAAGTTTCCAATGTAGCTTTCTTGTTTCAGTGTTATACCTTTCTCAGTCTTCTTAACTTCTAATCCAATAAAAGTAGTAGGATCGTTGTATACTTTTATTTCAAATTCCTTTTCTAGGGAATTTAAGATGTTTTTTAATGTTTGCTTTTCTTTAGCCAAAGCAAGCCCATCATCTACATAGATTGCTATTATTGTTGTATTATCTTCATTTGTAAATACACACTGATCTGTTTTAGTAGCTTTTAAACCAAGTTTTAACATTGCTTTTGTAAATCTTTTGTTCCATGTAATAGGAGCTTGTTTTAACCCATATAAGGATAAATAATCTAAATTTCTTTAATCGACAAATTTTTCCAGGTTGTTTTTCATATCCATCCGGTATATTCATATACACATTTTCTTCCAGATCTCCATATAAAAATGCAGTCTTAACATCGAATGTCATCATGTTATAGTCTTTAGAAGCAGCAAGTGCAAATAAAGATTTTAAAGTTGACTGACTGACAACTGGACTGTAAATTTCATTGTAGTCAATACCGTTTTGTTCAAATCCTCGTACAACAAGTCTAGCTTTGTAAGTGCCATTATCTTTCACACGGAATACCCATTTGTTTGAAAGTATTTTACTATCTTTTGCCTCTTTTTTTGTATACTATTTCCCAGGTATTATTGATTTCCAGGGATTCCTTCTCCGAATTTATAGCCTTCTCCCAGTTTTCTCCCTCTTTAGACGTTACAGCCTCCCTGTAAGTAAGTAAACTGTAGTCTCTTAGATGTATTGGTATGTGTTTCATTCTCTTGCTTCTTCTTAGGTAACCATCTTCATTATGTCTGTTTCTTTCTCTTTCCGTGTCTTCTGATTCAGTTTCTGATACTACATCTTCAAAAGTCTCATCATTTTTATTTTCTTCTGTTCTGGTATCATCTGTTGTCTCTTCCTGCTTTTCTATAATCTTTTCCTGGTTTTCTGTAGTCTCTTCCTGGTTTTCTGTAGTCTTTTCCTGGTTTTCTGTAGTATCTTTCTGGTTGTCTGTAGCCTCTTCCTGGTTTTCTGTTGTCTCTTCCTGGTTTTCTGTTGTCTCTTTTTCATCATTTTCACTTTTATTATTATTTATTTTCTTATAATTTTCTTTCTGTTGTTCAGTTTCACTTTCTACTATCACTATGTCCCTTGATATCTCTATTTTTCTTTCCTTGTCATTCCACAGTCTGTACCCATTATTAGTGTATCCAATCATTATTAGTTTCTTGCTTCTAGGATCCAGTTTCTTTACATTTGGATGTAACTGTTTTGCATAGACAGTAGAGCCAAACTTTTGCATATTAGATATATTAGGTTTTTTTCCAACCCACATTTCATATGGTGTTTTGTTTTTCAGGGCATCACTTGGTAGTCTGTTTAAAATATAAGTAGCACAATATATTGCTTCACCCCAAATTTCTTTGTCCAATTTAGAATCAAAAAGTAATGCTCTTGTTTTTTCTAATAATGTCCGGTTTAGGCGTTTCTTTCTGGCTGTTTCTTTCAACACTTCCGACAGATTCGATGCCGAAACATGTATATTTATCTCAAATTTCCAGATGTGGAAATTGTCAGAGTTCGTAAGTTTTTCTATATTTTCTTCTTGGTTATTCATTTTTTAATTCTTTTATGCACTGTTCTCACTCTGGGCAGTCTGGGCCCATAACCTGAAGGGTATAGGAATGCTCAGATGAGGGAAACCAACCTTTTATTAATATTATTTATTATTATTTAGGATGTCACTGACCGTTTTTTACTGTAATACATTTTCTTAAGACCATAGTGTAACTTTTCTATCCACTGACAAAGAGAACAATTACTAGTGTTGTGCTGTGTGCACTTCTTAATAGCGATGTACCCACTAACAAATTTCACTTTATCCAGGTACCTGCAATGTTTAGACAAAGTTCACGACCATTCGTCCGTTCAAGGCATGTGTGAAGTTCTGCCTTTTGGAAAAAAACAAACGTTAAACTTAAACGGGAAACGGATGCAGGTGCTACTAGCAGAGCCTGACATTGTTGGCTATACAATGTCCCTTGATCCAACTGTTTATAATTTGTGTAGAGGGTTGAAAGCATTCTTCGCGGAAAACCGGGCAGGAGTGCTGCTTACTAGGTAAAATTTTGAATTTTTTAGATATTTCTCTTTGTCGTGTAAAACAAAACAGCATCGCACATTCTAATGTTGCTTGTTGCTTAAATAACATATGATATCATCGTGACACTGAAAGGGGACGAGAACAACAGTAAATTTTTAATGAGATTTTGGGTATCAGTTACTGTTTACGAAAAGTAAAGTAATGTTGGAATTATTGATACACTTTGTTAAAATTGATTGAGTTGGTTTAAGTGTCGTTGTTAATAGTATATAAAATCGTTATATAATTTTAATACATCATTGTTTCTTTATTTTCTTGCCAGAGTTCTGAAAGTGGTCATATGGAAGGACAAAATATGCTTTTACATTTTCGATCCCGCCGGAAGGGATTCACGCGCGTATTCAAATTTCACAAACGGATGCGCTGCTCTGATAAACGTTAAGGACGTAAACTCCGTTGCTGAAGTGATTTTAGCTCGGAGCGTTGTAGAAGACCAAAAATATGTTTTAGCCCCCGTTAAAGTGCTCAAAATGGTCGACGAAAAAGTGGACGAGGAGTTCGAATCGGACAAAGAACTGACGCAAGCGGAGAAAGCAATGATGAGCTACAGAATTCTGAACGAAAATTGCGCTATTGTAAATGCCAATATGCATCTGGGAGATAGATGCTTTGAGGACGCGAAATACCGTCAGGCTTTGCCAATCGCTGTCGTGGCAATGACTTATACCAAGATCTCCCCTCCCAATACTTGGTTTACAAAGACTCTCGATAAAATCTTACGTTTAGGCAATAAGCTCTACGTCGAATGCATCCACCCAAAAGTGATGATTGATATCACAATTGACAACATTCCGAACGAAATTACTATAGGTCCGTATGCGTGCGAGATCATAATTTATAGGGAAAGAGTAAAGGGCCAAGTATTTACAACTAAAGAATGTTTCTTTAATATCAAGACTGGATTGGAGGAGTTCTTTAATCGCGAATATAATAGCGGTATACTTGAATTCAACAATTATACTCTGGCAGTGTGGAGGCAAAAAGATATGTACTACATGTTCGATCCCTATCCTCGCACAAATGACGGTATGCGGTCCCATACGGTGGGTAAAGCTTGTTGCTGGATGTTTTTAAACCCAGAAACAATGGCGTCGGTTTTTACAAAGAACTGGGATTATCTACCGGCCGTTACTCCGTTTCATATACACGCATTTAAAGTACTAAAATTAAAGAAGAGGGAACCAAAGGTAACGTTAATCCTAACATTTCTCTTAACATATGCACCTTACGTAAATACTCATTCTCTCTTCTCTAACAACCCAAACTTTAAGGTCAGTGAGCATAAATAATAAATTTCGTCAATTTTATGAAAATGATATATTAATGATTGTAGAATAGTTTTTGTTTGTTTATGCAGTACTATTTTCACAGTACCCGTATATCACTACCCTTTGATATATTTCCAGAAACAAATCGTTTGCACCCTTAGCGATGAGTTTTTGCCTGAAGCTAAGAATAAACGAAGAAACGAGAGATACGCTGCAAGTCGTGGTCACGGTGACGTCAAAGAGACTTTTCACGATGTCATGCCAGCGGAGGACGATTTTAACGATAGCTTTGACAAAGTTAGTGTCGAAGAAAGATGTCCCAAGAATTTGCTAAGCTTGGTGATGCTGTATGCCATATAATGATTATATAAGAAAACGTTTTATTAATTCCCGACGTAAAAAGAGGGGTGTGACATCGTAACTCCTAAAAGAATGGACCGATTATGGTGCGGTTCATCAGACGGTTCTTATTGTTTGTGACAGGAGGTTACTTAAAATTAATTATTTTAACGGGCCTATTTCGTCACATTGCGAAAGATTTGCATGACATTTTGTAGGTGTTTAGGAATCTGAAATATCGCGCGAACATAAAATGAAAAACTTTTGTGTACCCCTTTTGTTTTGTAAACGAACTAGATTTATAGATAATTTATGGTTTTCGAGTTAAGAGCAGTTATAGCTCTGTGTTCGGGCGCTCGCCTTTCGTGAGTTCGAGTGTTCGATCGATTCGTGAGTTCGATCCCCGATGCCGGTACCAATGAAATTGTTAATTTTAAGTGCCGAACAGCGGAAAACATCGTGAGGAAACCTGCATATTTTCGAAATAATAATAAACAAAATATTTACAAGATGTGTGAAGTCTGCTAATTCGCAGTAGGGCCACGTGGTGGACTATGCCCTTTTACCCTCTGTACAGAGGAGGCCTTTTCCCCAGCAGTGGCATATGTATAGGCTGATACTTAACTTTTTATATGGTTTTTCAATTACATTTTCAATAAATTTAAAATATAATATAAAAAAATTATGCTACATTACTAACTAATATTATTATTTTAATAGTAGTAGTAATATAATATATTCAATAGTACTAGTATTATTATTTTACTAACTAGCATTATTACGCGTTATTTTAGTGTCGTTATTTAATTATCGATTCTGCACTACTTTCAGAAACATCTTGTCGATGAGGAGCAGATGGGTGAGATTATATCACTAGTCGATAGCATACAGGACGATTATCTTCCACCGATTCCGCTACGGTATAAGAAACAGGATCCTGTGCCAATCGAACAAAAAATTGGTGAGTGCCATCTTTAAATGTTTTTTCACGTATCTACTTATTACAGTAAAAGCTTATAGTTATGATACTGGTCACAATCGGTATTTTATGTACTCAAAAAAGAATATAAGTTAGTGAAGATTAAAAGAGGGAGAATTACATTTCGTTGGGGCATAAGAGAGAGGTGCGAGCACACATTTTCTTTGTCTCTTTCTCTCATAGCCAGTTACGTTTCGTATATCTAGGACACAGTGCAGGCCTATTGTGTGTATCATACTGTAGGAGCAAGAGAGAGCAGTGCGCGCGCACGTTTTCTTTCTCTCTTCCTCTCATAGCCAGTGCATGAAATATATATCTCAATCAGTAGTTAGTTTGCGAATGCTAGCGTTGCGCGGACAGTGATTTCTTGATTATTATTTTTCAATGAAAACCCATAATAAATTTAAATATTTGTAGAAAGTTAATATATTTAAATACATGTATATATTATACATATATAAAAATATATCTATATATACATACATATAGATTGAACTAAAGAAGTTTTACTTCAGACGTATGGTCTAAAGCACACTCGGTTTTTTTATAGTCTGTCTCTCTAGATGTATAGCTACCTCTAATCCTCTATCTCACGTCGGCAACATATTAATTTCTATTTTGAAATGAAAATTGTTACTTAAAACTACTAAATTACTTAAAACCTATATATGATGCAACAAAACTGCTGTGGTAGGACCACGGAAATTTTCACTGTTGCACGGGTTGACATGGGCAGTCGGTCCAGGGAAATACCAGGACCCCACAGAACTTTATTAAAAGGTGGCAACGCATCTCTAAACCTACGGGCTGTAGTTATCATTTAACATCAGGTGAACCGCCGGCTCGCTTGCCATCTTATTAGATAAAAGAAAAAGAAAAATAGCACATTTGAGAACGGCACTGGAAATGTATAGATATATTTGTCGAATAGTGAACCTGGATTCACCGACGGTGTCAGTGACGCAAGTGGTGCCGCCTTGGCCGACGCCACGCGACAAGAGCCGAGAACCACCCGAGCCCGATCCTGACCCCGAGCCTACGCCGCCACCTACGCCGCCCGTACTGCCGGTAGCTTTCTTCTCATTTATGTTCCTCTAGTACATTTGAATTTACATTTTCATTTGCAGTTTATCTTGTCCTAGAAGAAAAGGTCGTCCTAACTTTATGTCACAAACAAATTGATACATTGGGACTTGCCGCCCATTCTGCCGGTAACTTTCTTCTCATCTACGTTTCTCTAGTACTCCATTTTAAATTGAGTAACAGTCTTCTGAGTAACTACGGTTGATTTTCAGCATTTGTGGCTATCCCAGAAGTAAACTTAAATGTACTGCTACTGAATATGGTTTCCCGGTACTTCGCCGTGAATTACGCAACTGTTTTAGCATTTAAATTCAGGAAATTGTATTTCAATCGACGTTGGTATACCGGCAATGTCTACACAATTTATATTTTCTTGGTACTATAAGTCAAACCCGTGTAAATGAGAACTAGGTAAGAAAGAAAACTCAAATAAGTGAGAGTAATTGCTTGGTCCCGCCATTTTTTGCCTCTTAACCTCTATGTATAAGAAAGAAGCCTCTATAAGAGAGAGTCTTGGACCCTCAAATATGTGTAAAGTAAAGTAATAGCCTATACATGTCCCACTGCTGGGCAAAGGCCTCCTCTATACAGAGGGTATCAGGGCATAGTCCACCACGCGGCCCCACTGCGGATTGGCGGACTTCACATATCTTCGAAATATACAGCGTGTCGTTACCATCGCGACAATAAATGAACACATGTCTAACGCTACTTGCCAATAATCATAAAAAAATATTAACGTTAAACAAAATACATAATTAAAAAAAATATTTTTCAAACAAACTAATTAAGTAAAAAAGAAACAAAATTTGAAACATCCTATACAACTCGCGCCACAGCGTCGTATTACAAGCCTCCTTCTAACAGTATGTTTTGTCTTCTTCTTTTAAATTCATTCAACCCATTCATATGCTTTGTGACCTTTACAAATGAACTTTACGTTACGCTTTTATAGGTAAGGGTGTTCTAAAATTCTTTGTTTTGGAAAATTTAATAACTCTGTAAATATTGATGATTAAAGAATTTAAATGTTTAATACAACTTTAAAAAGTTATCCCCTATATGTGTGTTCATTTATTGTCGCGATGGTAACGACACGCTGTATATTTTTTTTGTTATTATTTCGAAAATATGCAGGTTTTCTCACGATGTTTTTCTTCACCGCGGAGCACGTGATAAGGCAGCACTTAAAGTTAAAAACTTCATTGGTGCCGGCACTGGGGATCGAACTCAGGTTGCTCGAGTATATTGAATTAAAGGCGAGCGCCCGGACACTGAGTTATCACGGCTCTTAATGATGACATATGTGTACCTGTGTGACATATGTGTCGCTCAAATATGTCTGTGTAGGCCTATAACTGGGACTGCTACTTGTCTATAACTCTATAAGCGACAGTCGAGCATGTATGTGCACATTATCACTTGCGTTTGCTATTTATTTAGGTTTAAGATATTATAAAATTTCTCCGAATTTAATAAGTCTAAAGAGCAGCTGTACTGTTTGTTTTATAAATATTTCGGGGAACACAGATACTTACATTGTCTTTGCGCCCATTTGACAAAATCCGATAAAATTTACGAACTACGCATGAAAATGTAAAAACAGAAAAATACTACGGAATGTTTAAAATAGAATTTCAAAATTTATTGTTTTATTATTATTATTATTATTGTAACATTTATGTCCGTATTATTTATTTAATCTATGAGTGATAATAGCCACTTCTGTACCTCTATAAACTCTGGTTATTGAGAAACCTCCATAAGCGAGAAAGAGATTGCGGTCCCTTGAGTTCTCACTTATCCAGGTTCGACTGTACTATAGGTATTTCCATTACAATAGCCTTCAAAAATTGCACTCTAATCAATCGGGTTACGATCACTTTAATTCACGCATTGTCGTCATACTATTTATATCGTTTGTTTGTCACGGTAACCATTATTGGATATAGAATATATATAATATTATTGTGAGGATTTTGAATTTCATTTGAACAAATTTTATAACTGAGTACTTATATAAATATTTTAATTTGTTTCAGCCGCCAGAAGGAGGAGAAGAGGTATGTTTTATTGGTCCAGCTAATAGAAGTTGCAGTTATTAATTTTCTTATAGATATTTTGCCACAAAAATTACCTAACTTTACAGTCTTTTGAATCTGTGTAACTAAAATGAGTAATAAACTCTGACATAAAAGAAAGGTAAAGAAATCCTTCAATATTATATGGCGACATCCCAATGTCATGAATTAAATAATGTTCTATTTTAAATACAGCAGTATTCACAAGAAAACTGATATAACTGTTCGTCCTGATAGATTTCATATGAAAACTATATATCGGCGGCTACTTTTTTCAGCAAGAGGAAGAAGCAGAGGAGGAAGAGGATGAGGAGACTGCTATTAGGAAAAAAGAAGAGCGAGAGAGAAAGAAGGCAGAAGAAGAGGAGGCCAGAAGAAAAGCAGAGGAGTTGCCACCGCCATTACCGCCACCACCGCCATCACCACAGCCGGAGCCTGAAGTGCCGGTAATGTTCTATTATACTACTTTTTTCACAAAAAAAATACACTATTAGGGCGCTTTTAGTGTCACGCGGATTTGCTCACGCACGCGGGATTGGACCGCATGCGTAAAATTTCACGCTGCGGATCATACGCAGCATGAGTTTCAGTTTTCTACGGGCTGCGTAACGGTATAGACGTGTTCAAAAATGATCAATGTCAGAAGAATATGTGTCGCTTACATACTTTACAAACGACGAAACAAGAAGACAAGAGTACATGTTGATCCCTTTCTTGAAAATAGGCTTCTTGCTGGGGCGTTTGTTACACGCTTTGGAAAACTACAAAATAATGAACGTAAATTTAAAAATTACTTTCGAATGTCCATTCGTTCTTTTGATGAACTGTTGTGTAAAATTGAGAATAAGCTACAAAAAAGCAGTTTACGAAGGATTACAATACAACCGATTGAGAGGCTCGCTATTACATTAAGGTAAGTTTTAAATTTTAAATATTTAATTTCCTGCTATGATTTAGTGGAAAGGGATTTGAACAGGTAGGATAAACGTTTTTTGACTTCAAATTACTGTCATGTGTAAATTTACATGTGCAAAAAAAAATTTTGTCATGTACTCTGAAATTTCATTGTTCATAATTTCATTCAATTTCATGTTGAAATTTCATTAAATAAGATTATTTCACTCATAAAATGTCGCCATTAAAGTGGAATCATTCCTACCTTTCATCACACGCTACTTATTATAATATAGATAAAAGTTATAGGTTTGCACATGACAGTAATTTAAAGTCAAAAAAAGCACTTAATTGGTTTGGGATTGGTACGTTCAACCTACATACACAATCCTTTTTTTTTATCTGATAAAGTACACATGGCCACAGATCAAGTTACCCAAAACCAGCATAAATGGAACTCGCGCCTTGCGTATTATCATACTTAGGTAACCCGTCGGAGTCCCGCTTATACTGGATTTGAGTAACTTGATCTGTGCCGTGTGTACAACCGCACTCATATGACTAAACAAACAAACAATTAGAGAGAAACTGGAGAAAAAAAGTTAATCGTACTCATTTTAATAAAAAGAGTTTTATTCATAAATTAAAAAATCAAATTTTACATCATTCATTTCTTTGTAAATTTGTATCCTGAGCGTTGACATTACTTTCGCCTGTAGATGATGTTGTTGCTGGGGTATAAATTACGTCATAAGACGTGATATTAAACAGGCCGCTTTCAGTCGAAATAAGAGTTTCATTGTCATTCACTGCAGCAGAACTAATAGCATTGTCGTTAAGACTCGAAGTATCCTGGATTATACTATTGGTTTGGTAATCTTGATTTATCGGTGACAAACTGTCAAGCTCAGTAAAAGCACTAGAACTTGTTGTAGGTATGGGACTGTAGTATGCAGGTTGTGTTTGACTTTCCATTTCCATAACTATATTTAACACTTTTGTTCTGAACATTAGTTTTTGATATCTAGTGAATCTTTTTAATGAAGGCTGCAGAGACTGAAAGAAAGCCAAATCCTCACTTTCTAGCTCCAGTTGATTAGACTTTAAGCATTCTAATAACTGTGCCTCAAATTCAGATGGTGCTTGCTTTTTAGATTTTACTTGTTTTTGTTTTGATGTTGGGTGAGAACTTTCTTGACGTGAAGTATCTGGTTGCGTGGACTCATTAGGTGTTTCTAAATTACTTTGTTCAGACATTTCTTCACAGAGTGACTCTTCTCCAGCAGTTTCCGTTGTACTGTCTAAGAAAGTCAAAATGTCATAGTAAGAATATTTCTTCTTCTTCTTCTTACTCCCAGAGCCGGATGGCTGATTTTTTTCAGATATCTTGTCTTTCTGGTAAGTGTCCCTTGCTGTTCGCCAGCGTTGTTTGTATTTTCTTGTCTGAAATGACAAAATATAATAAGTAAGTGGCAAAAGTACACACAGTTTCAGATCAAGTTACCCAAAACCAGTACCAATAAACGGAACTTGCTAGGGCCTCGCCGGGCGCCGAGTCGTCTCCGATAATAAACAACGCATGAGTCCTGTTTATACTGGTTTTGGGAAGCTTGATCTGTGGCCGTGTGTACAAATCTGATATTAGTTGGAAATTTAACTGCATTCGATTAAAGGCCCTCCTTAATTCACACATGTTGTCAACTTTACACTGTCTCATGAAGCATTAGATAAATCAAGCAATATATATATACCTATACAGAGTGGAAAAATAAGGCCGCAGTTGAAGGAAAAGTACCCTTAGGCGCAACGCAAACGGCGGGCCGCGCAGGCCGGTCAATTTCGCCGCGAACGATAGCGCAAAGTGAATCTTATACTAGACGCAGACGGCGCGGCCGGGGCGGCGCGGCGCAGACATCGACGAAATAATTCATTTTTTACAAAAATAATTAGAACTTCATTTAAGGATTTTTGGAAAAACACCGGATTGAATCGGGCAATTTGTTTATTTGTTACAGTAAAATTTGCCATCATCAAAATTAAGGTGAAAACTTCCGGAAGGAGGACATCTTGTAATGTAAATATTGCCTGAAATAAACGATATTTCATTATATTATATTATATATATTTATTAGATTCCTTTCATTTGCCGGAAATTTTACCATAGGGGTTAATTTATACAGAGAAGATTTCTTATAAAATATTTACAGCATAGTTATGTGTCTCAAATCTGCTAAAAGTGGCCACTTTTAGCAGATATGAGATACATAACTATACTTCGAACTTTTCATATGAAATCATAACTGCATAAATACCCCCCTATGATAAAATTTTCGGCAAATCATAGAAATCTAACGTAGCTATAGTACTGTAGTTAAAACGAATTAAAAACTTCTAGCGCTAGCTACTTCCGTGCCCTTTCACCTTAAGGGTATTTATTTTTCTTCTGAAGTAAAATTCGAGCGGTGCATGCTGTCTTATGTCTGATGTCAGCATTATTAATATATTATGTTATCATATTATTAATATATTGTTTTTGTTTTCAGATATTTGGCAACTGGTAATACATTCACTGATCTACACTATTCCTATGTGATTGGAATTGCAACAATTAGCGAAATAGTAAGACAAGTTTGTTACATAATATGGATTGAACTAAAGTCTGAATGTATTCCACAGCTTAATGGGATCAAATGGAAAGAAATCGCAGAGGGATTTCTCACATATACAAATTTTCCTAATTGCTTGGGTGCAATTGATGGAAAACATATAAGAGTGATTCGGCCGCCGCACAGTGGATCACTATATTTTAATTATAAGAAATATTATTCTGTAGTGCTCCTCGCAATGTGTGATGCTGATTATAATTTTACATATATTAATGTCGGTACCAGTGGAAGCAACGCCGATTCAACCATCTTTAGAAGGAGTCAATTGTATACGAAACTGGAAAGTAACACGTTGGGTATCCCTGACCCGCAAGATTTGCCTATTATTTGCCCCGAAGTAGCTTATCCATCTAGTGTAAGAGCAAAGTTGCCGTTCGTGATAGTGGGAGACGAGGCATTTGGTTTATCATCACATGTGATGCGGCCTTATGCTCGTGATAATTTACCTTACAAAAAGAAAATATTTAATTACCGTCTGTCCAGAGCTAGAAGGTACATAGAATGCACTTTTGGAATTATGTCAAATAAATTTAGAATATTTCACAGATCCATGAATGTCAAGTTAGATCTAGCACAATTAATAGTCAAGACGGCATGTGTACTTCACAATTTCATAAGGAAACGGGATGGCTACAAGGTCAGCCATACATTTGTCACAAATGGTTTTACGGGACCACTACCCAGGCAGCAGACTGAAAGTAGTAATACGTCGGCAAGTAATATCAGAGATATATTTGCAGATTACTTTATCAATGAAGGAAAAGTCTCCTGGCAACACCGATATATAATTAATTAACTAAACTCAAAAGGTTTTAGAAGGTTTTTGATGTTATTTGTGAATTAAATAATTATGCTTATATTAATAAAGTAATGATGCTTGTATAAATAAAATAATGAACCAAACACATACCCGCCTCTTTTCTTTCCTCTTCGCTCAAATTTTCGTAGTTAGGTGCCAATTCCTTCAAAATATCTCTCCATGCAGCCTCCCTCGCGTCCCTGTTTTTGTATAATTCATTGCGTTTATCCCACAAAACGGGCCGCAGATGAACTTCAATGATTACTCGTTCTGTATCGATTTTCATTTCGGTAGTACAATACGGCGCGTGCGCCCCGCTCGACTCTAAAATGGGCACTGAAGTTGTAGGCAGCGCTTACGCATGCGGATACCCCGCACCGGGGTGACGCCCCGCACAGCGCCCCGCGTCCCGCGTGCGTTTATCACGCTTTACAATAGATACCTATATGAAATTGTTCTTTGCGGATGCTACGCATGCGGTCCAATCCCGCGTGCGTGAGCAAATCCGCGTGACACTAAAAGCGCCCTTACCTCCATACTTAAGTATGAAATAATTTCGATGCGAACTAAACTGGATATCATATTATTTACGTGTTTACATTATCATATTGAAAAGAAATTAGACTTTATTTTCATTGCAATTACGTATCATAATTATTTCTCTCTTCCGTATTCCAGCTCGCTCCAATGGAAATTGCGGAGGACGAAGTGCAAACCTTCGAACCGGTCGACGTGGACCGCAGGGTGCTTCTGACCGAGGACGCTCGCTACCGCTCGAAGTTGCGTCAATTTCGCAGGAAACTGACCCCGCCTCTGGACGAGATTGCGCCCGAAGTGACGCCGTCGGAGGAGTTTGCGAAACCCAGCAACTTCAAGAGTTTACCCGACAGCTCGCAGATAGTACACGGCTCGTCGGCCATTACGGACGCGGACGCTCAGGACATTCTGCCCTTCGCGGCGATAATGGCGATCGTCACGTCGTACAAGTACTCGATCAACACTTGGACGCCGGGCGTGGTCAACTTCGTTCTGGACACGGCCAAGAAGTTGTTTCAGAACAAATTGGAAAAGTTCCACCTCGCTCCAATGCATGTGATACCGAAAATATCCATCGGATCTCAGGTTTGTATATGTTGTGTTGAAAACTGCCAAAAAGCGCTTTGCGCAATGCTCATCATTAACTTATTTCACGTTTTCAGACGTACCATGCGCACATCGATGTGGTCGGTGAAGGGGCAACGTGGCAACTTGAAAACGTTTTATCAAAGAAATTCTTTACTAAATATGACAGGGGAATGATTACTACGTCGTCGTACAGTTGCGCCTTTTTCAAAAGAAACGGTCTTTATTACTTGTTTGACGCTAGTGCCTGCAGTGCAATGGGTGTTAGGAATCAGGACAATAAAGGGAATGCATGTTTACTGCGATTTACAACGTTGCACGATCTAGCTATCAGGTATACAAAAGATATAAAATTTTATTATTTATGCGCTGTTCTTTGACTTTCGGGAATGTATTTTTTTATATATTCTTTTTTTATGCGGAAAGTTGTCAAGCGACCAGGCGGTTTTATCCGATGTTTAGTGATTACCGCTGACAATGGAGATCTATATCACCCTGAGGGCTTGTAGATGCGTCGAAATCCTTTGAAAAAACGGTGTGCCAGTTACGTCTCACCAGGCTAAAACTAAGAAGTATAATGTATCCATTTCAATCTGGTCTACGAGCATGCTCGTTCGTGCAACAGAAGAAGATGATTGCGGTTTTAATGTACGTTTTTTTTGTGAGAAGGTGGCACGCGACCTGGTGGTTCACCGGGTTTTAATTGATAACCGCCATTTGCAAATTTTAGTCTTTCTTTTAGTAGATATTATAAAAATTTAGCAACTTCTTTTTTCAGAATGTTATATAACAAAGACGGAAGTAGTGAGGATCAACAATTCATTTTGAGCAGAATTCTGGTAAGGCGACTTCTGACGGAACCGAGAATGCAACTCCCAGAAGACTATGATTATGCAACAGGGGAGCCGAAATCGAATAAATCGCGACGTTCGATTGTTAAATCGCCAAAGGAGAAAGATAAGCAAATTTCTATCGATTATGCTGAACCGAAGAGCCAGACGGCCATCGGCTATCAGCAGGTCAACGGTTTGTACCGTATTGAAGGCACGACGGGTTTGAATGACAGAAACAGCAGCTCCGACGTAAAGGTGTGTCATTTTGTCAGCCTGATTGCAATGCTTATGGCCGCGATGCACCCAATACGAACTTGGAATCACTTTATGATGGATGTATGCCTGGAGAAAGGCAGGGAAATTTACGAAAAGGCAACTAACCTCAGCGTCTGCGAAAAGAGAGTTATCAAAAATATCGTATTGGATGGGAAGTTGATAGATGTCAATATTAAGAAAATCCTCGTTGTTAACGAGAATCCCGAGAAAACACTTGAACAGTATTTAAAAGCAGTTTTGAGTCGATTACGCTATGTCATAATTAGGTTTCCGCAATGCAGTATGGTGATTTGTCAAACGGACGGATACTATCACCTTTTCGATCCGAATCCGCCACCGAATGGAGAAGTCCCTGAAACAGAATTGGAAGGTAAAGGAACGGAAACAAGTGGCGGAAAAAATCAAAGGTCAAGTTCAGTGGCCACCTGGACTCTTTACCGTTCATTGGAGGCTCTTATTCGTAGAATAAAAAAAGTCGTGACGGGGAAATCTGTTGACGAACCGGAATTTTACACTTTTGAATTGACTTCCGTTAAAAAGGCGCCAAAACATTCCGCACTCAACTATCGTCTAAGCCCTCTTTTCAAATCGGACGTTAATCCTAATTCGCCATACTTAAAACGGAAAAAGTCGAGACCCCTCGTTGATGAGAAAATGTACTGGTTGAATGTCGAAACAATTCCTTGGTCACGAATGAATCCCACCAATGATTTGGGATTTTGGAGAGGGACGCCAAAGACGACCTGGAAGGATTGGGATATTGAATTTCCCGGTGATCTTTATTCACTTTGGGGGGCGATTCATCCGTTGGATAGGCAGTTTAAGGAGAACCACCGCGGCAAACAATATCTAGCTACTTGTGTCGTGGCAATCTTTATGACTGAAGTCTGCAATCTAAGCGCTTGGACTAAGAATCTTCTTGATGGTGTAGTAATTGCTGGAGATAATTATCATGCAAAGTGCATCGATAAAGTTGGCGGCAACCGAAATCACGAAGTAACTATTAACGATTTAGATACGAAATTCGACGACCTTTATCCGTACTCATTCTCCGTAAAATTCGAAAGCATTATATTTGGTTTCGTTTATAACGTTTATCCCGATCGTTTCAATTTATGTAAAGCTTTGGAATATTTCTTTGAAAAGAATCGGCTCGGTATATTGATTAGTCCCACGAAAAGTTTTGCGTTCGGAAAAATCGGCGCCTCCTACTTTATGTTCGATTGTCAAAGCTTCGGTGCTCCAATATTCTCACCCGGTCAAGGCGCTGCATACATTCTTAAATGTGAAAGTCTTAATAGATTAATTTATTGTTTTACTATGACATTGAACATTAGAAGACATGGTCATCAGTTTCATTTGTATAGTGTAGAAGTGACAGTCAATGAAAAAACAAAGTAAATTTATTGCACTATAAATGCTTATGTTTTGTATTATACTGATATTGTAACGAAATACAAATGTGTGACTCCTTTAATAACTTATTTCCTCCCACCATTCTAATATTTTTTGTTAATTCTTTACATTGACCAACACCTATTCATTTAACCATTATAATTACATTCAGCTTTTTTGAATAACGAACCTTAGACCAATGGAAATCAGAATTTCATCTTCATTTTTGAAGTTCAAATATGATACAGTAGTAACTATACATAAACTGCATGTGTTAAGTTAATAAAATAATTAAATGGTAAACTGATACAAAAGTCTAGTCTACAGACATTTATTTAAATGCACCATTATTAAAAAATAAGTTTATTGATAAATATTCATCAGAGATGAAGATGAGAAAATGAGTTCAAATGTATTATAATAATTAATCATTATAATACATTTGATGGAAAACCTAAGTAAAGACTATATTTTTGATATTTAAAATCAACGTCATAATCTTCTTTCATCATTTATTTTCGGAACCATATTGTTATTTCAGTTATTGGCTTTATTTCGTTATGTTTTTTAATATAACATAATTTTTAATATTCTGTGTATCCCAATTTGTGGTGCTGTGCTCTAATAACTATCGAGCAGTGGGACTTATGTGGGCCGATTTTTTACTTACATATTCTTTGCCATTAACATAAAAGTAGAAACAATAAAGGGGTTTATCTAAAATACAAAAAGATAAAATAAAAACGAAAAAAGAAATTTATCTGTTAAAACAGAGTAATGATGAAATGTTTACTCGATATTTGCATAAATTATTCCAGGCACAATCTCTTCAACTATAACTTGATGTGAACTCGTGAAATTAATGGAATTTCTTGATAAAATTTGGTAAACAAATGTACAGTGAAAGGTTTTCATTACTAAACTAATTTTGTAATTAAACAGCAGAATGTGTTGGAAACATTGTTTTTAATTAACAAATTTCTGGTTTTTTGTTGTAGTATTACATTAAAAAAAGGAAAAATTAATACCCTAAAGCCAGTGCTGTTTTAGATATTACACATAGTCATTAAATAAAATTAAAATGTGGTTTCATTGATTTTATTATAACCTTAAAAACCTTAACACACTGTATTGCATAGTAAGGCACTAATTATTTGAATCCAGATCCGGCAAATTTTCATCGTCGGAGTCACTTTCAAGATCATCGAATGAAGGCTTGTTATCACCGCCACCTTTGCCCATGGACTGCAACATCTCCGACAAATCAACTTCATTGTTTTCTTCGACTAAATCGTCATCCTCATCACACCATTTGTTAAAATCAATTTTTAAATAGTGTTGTTTCTTTTTATCGCTCGTAAGCGATGGCCAAAAACCTTCTCCTGTATATTCTTTGTGTAGAACCATTTCTATGCATCTTCCTTTATTTATAAAGTTGCTTTTTTCCGGTATGACCCCATTGTACAATGGAATTGTAACTTCGTATTCTTTATTGTCTCGCACATTTATACCTTTGAAATAAATTGAGCTTTTTTCAATTTTAATATCTGGATCTTTCGTCTCGATGTTAAATGTGAGAAAAACTTCCGCTCTATTTTGTGCCCACGAAACGGGAGGAGGACAGGACGTTTCGTTTGTCATGATTGTTTAAACGTAGTTTGAATCAAAAAATATATTTAGGCACCAATGTAGGACTACGTGGAAATAATATTAGCAATCACGGCTTTATAAATTCTAGACCACACTTCAAAATAATATCTATAGGACCACGACCAGAAGTTATTAATGAAATGAAGTCTAGAACAGATTCGCAATTTAATTTATGGATGACGATGTTGCCATATAATTTACTTACAAATTAATCTTAAACCGTTGTTTTTCATTAAGATATAAATTAAGAATCTTTTGCATTCACAACGTGTATTACTGTTAAATGAAACTATTTTTAAGGATTACATCAATCGAATACTCAAAAGAAAATAAAAAAAATAACAGTATTTTATTGAATAAGCGATACGCACCCGTGTTTAAACAGGAATATAAATATTTGAATCAAAATTCGGAATTACTTAAATAGATACAATTATTTTGCTTAACTGAAAAAGTGTTTGTGCTCACAAATGTAACTAACAGTTCAATGCCCAAAGAGGCGTTACCGGCCCTAGCCTTGTTCAGGGTAGAGCAGGATTGTCTTTCAACGTCCTTTAGTCGGTGCTTTCGTACTACTTTGAATATAGAGTACTTTGGTTTAAGTAAAATAAATGACAATAACCAATTTTTTTAAATCAATTTATCACAAACAACAACACATACAGCGTGTCGTTACCACCGCGACAATAAATGAACTCACATATAGGGGATAACTTTATAGGGGTAACAAAAACACAAATTCTTCCTTAACAATCTAATTACACATCTACATCGGCATCGCCACTTGTTGGTACAACAACACCAAATCTTTCATTCAAACAAATATCTGAAGACATATACGCTCAAGGCAGCAATTCGAATTCGGTAGATATACTAAAAAATGACTTAAAAATATTAAGCTCTTTCTGTAGGCAAAAAACGTTTGGTGAAGAGAAGAAAACAGAAGAAGTGGGAAATACCATCACGCATCAGAGTATCTCGCTTGAGTATAATCGGCAGATACTAAAATGTCACTTCGATCATTCTCTGGTAATTTCGACAGTCGTCAGTATATCTTTTATCAGTGTGGTATCATAGGTGCAACTACATTTCCTCTGACGAATTTTTGATTATTCCTTTTCCCACATCCTAATTTATTTTTATTTAATAACAAAAAAAGCATGTAAAAGAATTGCTATTTTGTTTTTTTTAAATAGCACGTAAATGCATAATTACAAGAACACAGAAACTATAGAGAAACGAAACAGTACTGAGTGATGATGGACGGCTAAGAAGAACGGTGTGTGAGGTACATTCTGCATCGTAGTGCTGCACGGCAGGATAGTCAAAAACAAAGCGGCCCCCTTTAACTATTCACATTATTATTATCACATATAAATATTGTGTGATGAACATAGTATTTTTCTAGTGTCTGGGTGTTAATATATGTATTTATTTACAAAAGAAAAGTATGTTTAAGTATGTTTATCAGTTTTCTTGTACCCATAGTACAAGCTTTGCTTAGTTTGGGACTAGAGAATGTTGCGTAAAAATGTGTCCTAAAAAAAATATTTAAACTTCCTAATTCAATTGCTATTCACTGAAAAATAAACGTTAATTATTCGATACTGTCCATACGTAGGTTGAAGCGTTTTGCGTTTGCAACGAACAGTAAGGGTGTTGCAAATGTTCATGGGCGGCGGTTATCACTTAACATCAGGTGAACCGCCAGTTTGTTTGCCACTATCTCACAAAAAATGTAATAGTGCCTTTGAAGGCGTCGGAACAGAATTTTGGACGATCTTTCGATTAAAGTAGTTCTTCAAAAAATACTCATAACATATATTTTCATTTTTTTTTTTTTTTATGCGAAAAGTTGTCAAACGAGCAGACGGTTCACCTGATGTTAAGTGAATACCGTCGCCCATGGACATCTGCCACACCAGAGGGTTACAGATGCGTTGACAACCTTTTGAAAATTGGGCTCCGGCCACCTCACTCACCAGACGAAACGCGAAAGTATTATACTTCCACTTTACGCTGGTCTTCTGTGAGGTCGTGGTACTTACCCGGACGGGCCTGCCCATTCGTGCAACAGCCGAGGCTGCTGCGTGGCCCTACCACCGTATAATTTCATATTTAAGTACTAAAGCTGTGCATTTAGAGCTCGTTTTTAAATTATTATTTATTTACTTTTAAACCTAATGCACGAAACAGTACATAGGCGGACTTAATGCTGACAGCATTTTCTTCCAGTCAACCTTAGGGTGGTACTGAGAAGTTGAGGTAGGTGCACAAATACAGTTATAAACTAAAAAGAAAAAATACATAATTATTAAATATAAAAATATAACACATAATATAATTCTAGCATACAATACTTTTAAACGATACAATAAGTATTATCTTACATATATACTTTAATATACATATATAAATAAACATATATATTATATACATATACATATACATTTATATATGATGATGTCATGAAACTGCTGGCAATTTCCCCTGAATGTACTTGCGTGCCATTTTCTTAAAAGCAAAGCGATTCTTGGCCATTCTAATTTTGAGAGGGAGCTCATTCCAAAGAAGGATAGATTGGACAAAGAAAGAGGAATGGATAAAATCAGATTGATGAGGAGGACATAACACAAGACGTGTTTTGAAATTGTGAATAGAACAAGAAAGTTCTATTCACAATTTCAAAGAATCTAGTTCGAAGAATCTACGCTCTAAACACAAAAGAATTGTGTTTAGATCGTAGATTCTTCGTGTTGACTGTGTAAAGGTATTGGAAATGAGGAGATAAATATGAAGGAGTAAATGGGGAATTAAGGTAAGAAAAAAGTGTGGTCAGGGCTCTTAGGGAGCGTCGTTGTCGAATGGTTAGCCAACTTGGTTGTGACCGATACGACGATACATGGTCATATTTGCCGAGATTGAAGACGAATCGAATGCAGTTATTCAGAAGTCGGTCTAATTTGTTGAGGTGATCTGCATTCAGGTCAAAGTAGCACACGTCACCATAGTCGATTAAAGAAAAAATTAAGGCCTGTACGAGCGTTACTTTAGTTTTTATCGGCAGGAAATTTTTAAGTCTGTAAAGACAGCGCAAGACACTAGTTACTCTTTGGCTGACACTAGCTATTTGATCTCTCCAACAAAACGTCCCGTCAATGAGCAAACCTAAATTTTTAACCTTATTTTGCAGGGGAATGGGGGAGCTGTCAAAAACAATTGTTGGAAGGTTAACTAGATTTACTCTACTAAGAGTGCGGGAACTCCCAACTACCTTGGCTTGACATTTGGACGGATTAACCGATTCAATGCGGATGGCTCCGCAGAGGCGCCATGTGTATCTTTTGTGTATGGCGGGTGGCGCCCGAGAGGAGCCAAAATGTTTTCCTGTAAAACTCCGCTAAAAAAGCTTTATTCAGAGGCTAGCCCTAAATGAAAGTTTCCTTATTTGTCACGTAGATTACGATACTAGTATTAGTTTCAAGATATAGCGTGAAAAAAGACATTTCAGATGTTGTAAACCTTTTCAATAGAAACAATAATTATGAAAGGTAACTTTTGTGCATGGCGGGTGGCACCCCAGAGGAGCCAATATTTGAAACCAAAAAAACTGACTAATTTAAATTTATCAATAGTACATATTTCAGTGTTCTAAAAATATTAGTGTCTTTATTTATCACGTAGATCCTTTCCAGAGAAATCGCTTTAAGGTGTAGCGTGATTTCACACTCTTCGGGGATGGTAAACCATTTTAAGCGTTATTTAAATGTTATTTAATATTAAGGGTTACAAACGAATAGCACTAATCATGACAGTTAAATATTTAAAAAAATATCTGTTTTCACTTTTTTTGCTTTGTGGATATGCTCTTTTGCAAGTTTATGGTAATAACTAGGTAGTTTCTCGAAGTATGTCCAAATTTAACCGGACTAGTAATTGCATTCCTTAGGTATCAAGACAATGTACTTAGTTTATTTTTGAGTGAGAAACAACAACAAAAACGATTCTCAGAAAAGCAATATATTTTGTTGTTATGCTATGCAGTCATATCAAAGATGTTTTTAAAGATTTTTAAGCTTTTTATTGCCCTACTGCTTATTGTTAATATGCCGTGCCGACCGACCCTTTTTATTGATGGGCTAGGGAAAGATGTTATTTAACTAAAAACAAAAGAAGTCGGTGCCATAAATCACTTAACAAGGTTTCTCACGCGCAAATTACTTAACTATCGATGATGTTTTTTCGTTTACTTCTGTTTTGCTATTTATGGTGATCAGACGTAAGCACGTTGTGACCGTTTAATGCTCGCTTCTGAAGTCTCTTAGTTTGCCTTTTAACAACTGTGGACTGTGTATCTGGACTTCGAGATTTTGCTTCAGTGACTACCCCGGCTAGTAATTTGGACTCTGTTTTGATTCTTGACTTTACAAGGTGAGTTTTTTTAACAATGTTCTTTTTTTCTTTTTCTAGTCTTTTCAATCATTGAAATTTAACATGAGCTTTTTGAAATTTAACATGAGGGACAGAGTGATTCCATGTTAGAGGAAAACCTAGATAGG